ACAAATGAGTGAATGTCTAACAATCTGAGTTAAGATGCCAGGCATTCAGTCCCCAGAGTGGCCCACCTAGTCAGACACCCAACTCTCTGAGCCTCATTTCCCTCTCCATAAAATGGAGAAATAAAACAATATCTCTCTGGGTGGAGCCAAAGAGGAGGTGAGTCCACATGTACACAAGCAGCTGGCTCAAGTGAGGATCAACTCACTAATGTGAGGATCCCATCACTGCTTGGCTGGAGCAAGACCTAACAGGCTTATTTCCTCATCAGTGCGATCTGGCTCCAAGTACCCTACATTCCCAAAGTGATGCCAGGAGTGGCACACATCTATAATCACAGCACTTGGGAGGCTGAGGCAGGAAGATTTCTGTGAGTTCAATTGCAGGAGCTACTTTGGCTTACAAAGTGAGCTCAAGGCCAGCCCAAACTACACCGTGAGACCTTGTCTCAAAAAAAAAGAAAGAAAAATCCCCAAGGTGATGGTGAGAAAGCTCTAAGTCACACTTGCAAAGCCCTTAACTCAGCTAGTGACAGCCTTAGAGAAAGCCTTGGATTGACATGTGGCCCTCGCATGGGCACCTCTGCTTTCTGGGAAAACTGCTTTCCAATGTAGCCCCTTCCTGTCAAGGCAAATCCAAGATATGCCTGCAACGCCAACCTTGCAAGCTGGCAGGCAGTACAGGCAGAGCCCAATGGGTGAGCTCCTCTTCTCCCAAATGAATAAATCATTACAGGAGAGTGGTATGCACCCCACCAGCATCCATAAGGATCTGAATTATATATAACAAAGCTGCAAAAGCAATTTATCCCAGGCACGTGCAAGTCATAAAATGGGAGTTTTCGGGCACACAAGACAATTTTCAGATACTGCAGCTTTTATCAAAGCAATAAGGCCCACCAAAGGAGCATCCAGCCCCACAGGGCCGGGGATGCCTTAATCAGGTTTATTTATTATCAGAGGAAAGAATCAAGCTCTCCTTCCTGGTTCTACCACCTCCTCCACCTATCCCAATGCCCCAACGTGGCTGCTCCTCGATTCAGGGGCTACAGGATGCGAGAGTGAGCTGGCAAGAGCTACTCTTCTAGTGGGAACCATCTGCTCGAGAGCCTGGAGGTGGGACCAGGTGCTCTCCAAAGCCCTGGAGGGAGAGGAAAAAGAGGAGGGATTGCTAGAAGAAAAGGTAGCAAGAGCTCTGAAGTAGAGCTCACGAGCTCCATCCATGTTGCTGATTACAGGTGGGAAACTGAGGTACTAGAATGTTCTGTAACCTTGTGAGGCCTCCCAGAAGAAAGGAGAGGAAATGAGAACACAGTTAGGGTTGGCAGGCATTTAGTGAGCACCTACCATGTGCCAGCCCTCCGGATCCAAGGCAGAGATTTCCCTGCATGTATGAACTTACAGCTGCCTCTGCAGCTGCACTGCCAGGAGTCCACCTCTTCCCCAGGCTCCATGGGGAGGGAAGAGTTCCACGGCAAGCACTGCCCATCAGTGTCCCAAGTCACTGGTAAGAATGGGTAGCTTATACCTCCTGCCTCAGTCACAGGGTGCAGCAGGGGTGGACTTGAGCCTGGGGGTGGTCTTGAGCCTGAGAAAAGTGACCCCTGTAGCTGAAGAGACCCCCAAAGGAGGCAGCTGGTGTGGCTATCTTCTGGCCACAAGCCCTGCAGCCCAATAGTAAGAACTTCCCTGGAAGTGGGTGTGGGCAGGGCATCTCCACTCCTACAGTATTCCTCATCCTGCTTTATACTCTTCCCAGGATTTACCATCATCTGACACTGTGCATAACTGCATCTCGAGGTTTTCAAAGATACAGGTGATGGCTGTCTTGTTCTCATTGCCCAGGACAATGCACATGACACCCAGTATCAATTTGCTCAGTGGGCGAACAAATGAATGAGTGCCCAGCCACCATGGCTCCCATTTCAGTGGAGGAGACTGAGCAGACAATGACACTTCAGCATGAACCCTAACCCCATCTGGACTGGGGAGCACCCAGGGAGGGCCATCAGGCTCCAAGTCCATAGCTATTTCCACTCCACCAGGAGAAGACAAGTGGGGCTGAAGCAACCTTCACTGCACTCCCTTCCACTCCATCATCTTGATATGCTGTGCATGGTTACTTAACCATTTCATGTTTTTATATATCACCTCTCCAGCCAGTTGCACCTTCCCCGAGCTCCAGAATTATGTCTTACATTTCTTTTATTTTCCACCCTCAATGCCCAGTTTAGTGTAGTGTTTTGTTCATCACTGCTATTTGCTGAATAATTACAGGATGTATGAAATGAGGATTAAAATAAAGACAGCACAGCTCTGGGAGACCACATTTTCTGACCTATAGTTGCAACTCAAAGCCCATAAAAATATAAATAGCAATTGCTTAATGCGCATGGGTTCCAATGAGAGACTGTGCCCAGCACTCTGCATGCATAGAAACTGTCATTCTTAACCGCAACTTAGCAAAGTGAAATATGAATGTGGTGTCCAATTTAAAGACAGGAAAACTGAGGCTCACAGAGAAGGAAATATTTCCCAAGGCTACATAGTCAGTGTGTGGTGGAACTAAGAGACAAGCCTGAGCTGATGTTCTTAACCATTATACTGCTCTGTTGAGATAATGGCCAAATGATTTAAAATATGTATAGAACCATAACGTTTGGGATGTGAGGTCAAACACTTCCATGAAGCCATCAAGGGGATTTCTGTGTATGGCAGGGAGCAGGAAAAATGGAAGTCAGCTCTATTTATCTTCATATCTGCAGCAATTCCAGATGTGTTTCCCTAAGCATCAATTGTCTTTCCACCAGAAAAACAAAACAGTGATGTATCTCCCCTCTAAAATTCCTGTGACTGCATGAAGCTTGGGTGATTTTACCCAGATCCTTAAAAACATAGCAACTTGAATTTTTCAAAGCACATATCTCTCAGAGTGAGATTTACATTAGCCGTACTTTGGTATGATGTATAAAGAAAACAGATAGTAATTCATTCATTTACAAAGAGAAATCACTATTGTATAGATACAGCCAGCACTTTTCCTCCTGATAAGAAGACCAGGCTTGGGAAATAAAAATAATCTGGTTTCTATAGGAGGGCAAAGAAAGATGGTGCATTCACTGAATGTTTAGTGGCACTAGATTTGAATGACTAGGAGCAAGTTTCTCAAGGAAAACGTAGGCTCAGAACTATCACAAGTTAGATTACATGTTCACGCCACAGAAGAGATTTTTGGTTGCTTCCTAAGGGCCACTGTCAACCCTTTCCAAAGCAGCTTTACTGTGTCATAATTAGGTAAATTTATACTCACTTTCCTTGCAACTAAAGTAACTAAAGGTGGCCACATCTGGCTAATGAGAAATCATTCTAGGAGATTTGGGGAAGATATTTGGCATCCTAGTGAAAGGTACAGAGGCAAAAGAAGAGCTAACTGGTACAACTTCTGTCACTTTCTTCCTGCTTTAAAGATAAATGTGACAACTGGAGGTGCAGCAGCCTTACTGCAGCTGTGAAATTATAACCATGAGGAGGATAAATAGTCAGCACAGTGAAGATTTTGGAATGAGAAGAAAGAGGGTAAATGATCGATAGCATTGCTGCTTTTCTGCACCAAATCTGAAACTTCCTATATTTAAAATCTCCATTAAAGAAGATGATTGAACATGTTTGTTGTTTAAACCATTGGCAGTTGTTTCAGTTACATGCTGCACTATTACAAGTCACGCCAAACTGTAACGGGTTAATCACTTGCTCCCGTAATTCTGTGAGTTGATTGGACTCTGCTATGAGGTTACTCTAGCCCACAGAGTATAAACTGGGATGCAGTCTTCTGGAGGTTCAAATGGGCTGGAATTCCCAGAATAGTTTGTTCCCATACCTGGCAGTAGGTGCTGATTGTCCCAAAGGGAGAAGATGGGTCCCAAAGGGAGTCTTCTCATCGCACAAAAGGGGAAGCTACATCTTTTGCATCCTAGCCTTGGAAATTGCATAGCATTACTTCTATTTTTCTTTCTATTTTTTCAAACTAAGTTGAAAAGTGACCCCTGGTCCAAGGGAAAGGGAAAGATACTGTCCTCAAAATGAAAGGGCTGGCAAAGAAATGCAAACCCCCTTTGACCATAGTTATCAATCTGCTCTTACAACTTGCACCTGAAAGCACTACTCTAAATGGAGCCTTGCCAGTGAAGCAAGAATGAATCAAAACCTGAGACTTGCTGTCCACTGGAGAAGCTGTCTTTGCAACTCTGTGTCCTCCCAGCTTCTGTGGTGGGTCATGATGGCTCCAGGCTCTCTTTAAATATGCTAATGAATTCAACTGTGTGACAGCCCAGTCTTGCAGGCCTGGGAGCCATCTTTAAGGTGACTTTGCACAGCTCTGCTTTGATCTATAATATATTGACTTCATGGTTTAACTCTCAGAAGGCAATCTTCACTCTCTGTGTTTTCCAAGTGCTTGAGAAAACATCGCAGGTCTAGCACCAGTCTTCATCAAGATGATGGTCTTTCCCTTGTCTGCATTATGTGGTTGTTGAAAGAATCAAAAGGAGTGATGGCTGAAAAAGAATCTTGAAACTTTTAAAAGGGATTATTATCATCATAACAAAATAACATGAGCTGTAGGCTATGGCTATTTTGGTAACCAGTGATATAGAATCCAAATCAAATCACCTTAAGCAAAGAGATAAATGGTGCCTGAAGTCTGAGGTAATTGGTTCCAGGCATGATGACATCGAGCAACGCCTGCATGGTCAGCAGGACCTATTGTCTCTTCACCTCTGTCCTAATTCCCTCTATGTCCCTTCACTTCTCAACAGTGACCACCAGTAACTTCAGGTACACATCTTCTGAGAGTCTCTGTCTCTAATACTTTAAATAATACTTAATACTTTCTAATAATAAAAATATTGAATATCCAGTGTGATACAGATTCCTCACCTGATGCTTAGTGCCCCAAGCTGGTCAGTGTACTCCCCCAATAAATAACCATTACAGCCAATGGCACATAAAGGGAAAGCTTCTTTATGTAGGTGGTCAGGGCTGAGTTGTACAATCACCCTATACCCAGGATAAAATCAATTCTTCCCATATTTCAGAGACAGAAAATTTAGGATATTTTCATCAGAAAGAAGGTAAATAATTGCCCAACATACAGTGTGTGACAGAGTTGAAGAGCAATGGATGAAGACCCTGAGTCAATACCTTGGAGCTGCTGGATTACACAGTTTTACTCCTGAAGCTTGCATCTGATCCATCACGACTGCATTGCATCATTTTACCATCAGGCCGCTATGCTGTCTAGCTAGGTCCAAATGTATTCATCAGAGATTCTTGAGAGTTAACCTGATTAGTCCAGCTTCATGAACTGCATCATTGTTGTTTCCATGAAGTCCAGTCATCTGCCAGTCTATGAAATACCTGCTCTTGTAGGTAACTCTGGTCCTAGAACTTATTGCTGGAGAGGAACAATACGTGGTATGAAACAGGCATGTCTTGGCTCATGTATTGGTTAAGTTTCCTGCCACTAGAACAAAATACCTGACACCTACTACTTAAAGGAGAAAAATATTATTTAGGCTCACAATTTCAGAGGATTCTCTCCATGGTCAGCTGGCAGAAATACAATGGCAGGAAAGCTGCTTGCTTACATCATGGCATCTGGGAAGCAAAGATCAGGGGAAAACCCAAGAGAAAGGGGCTAAGGACCAGACACAACCCCAACATCACACTCTCCATGGACAATGCAGAGACACCCACAAATAATGCTTTATTAATCTCCTAAGTGACTCCAAACCCAGTCAAAATGACAATCCAGATTACCCAACACAGCTCAACACAAGTGAGCAGAAGGCACAGATTGAGGAGAGAAACATAGAAGTAGAGCCACCATGGTAAGAAATAAAAGAGGAAACTGAACAACCCCATTAGAAAATGAGGGAAGGATTTTCTTTCTTGGCTTCCTTAGTTCCATCCCTGGGATGAATATCAATCTTGACAGAAGACATTTAAAGTGACTCAATACTAAAGCTCACATTATCATGGCAAATTTTGGAGGTAGGAAGGGGGTGATTTTGAATGTTATCTTTAAATAAAATAAACTTAGTTTTATCAAAATAACAAAACTTAGATTACCATTTCAACCATGCATAAATTACAATAAAGAACAGAAAAATGAATTAAGTAGTAGGTTTTTTTGGTGTAATTTTTCTGCAAAAATCCTTCATTTCAGGTTTGGCTTTTAATTCATGATAGCAAAAGAGTTGTTAAAAAATATTCAAGGGCTTTACCAATTTTTCCTCAGGCCTTCTTGAATCTTTTGATATTTAAATATTTTCTTTTGAAGTGCTCACCATGTCATTTTCCTTGTCACATTTTTTTTCTTCACTTGTTAATTCTTCTTGGGATGATATTAAAAATATTGAATAACCAGCATGACACAGGTGCCAGCCAATCAGCAATCACCATGACAACCAATATGGCCAGGTCTATTGAATTCCAGCAGAATATTGACACTGACACTAAAGCTGCCTGATTCTCAGGGGTCATCTGTGATTTTGTCTGTTCTTTAAAACTCTCAACATCACTTTCATCAACTTCATGGAATCTTGATGTGAGAGTTTCAGGCACCTGTTGCAGTTGAGCCACACTGTATATGCACCAGGGTCAGACAGTTGATGAAAGACTGATTTTCTTTGACAGGACTCATTGGTTTTAAGAAAAAAACCATCCATTCAAGGACATGTGACAAGCATTCAAAATCCAGGGGACTCTCAAAAGACAGCCTCCAAGAAAGATGTGGTAGAAGTGAATTCACACCAGTGTTGAAGGGAGATGATCATTCGAACAATTTTTTTTACTAGTCGAAATTGTATAATTATTAATAATTTTTACAAAATTTGATAACTTCAATGTCACAAGGATACAAATGATATTCACTACTCTTGAATTTTGTTTTCGAGATAGCTTGGATTTAATTGCCCTTTCTTGCCATAAATGAGTACTGTGAAAGACAAGTCAAGATTTACAAGAGGCCCACCAGATGGTTTCAACAGAAATATCAAGCCCAGCTGGAGACTGAAATGTGATGACCACATAAGGGTCTGATATTTTCTGAATTTCTTTCCCATCAAATGTTCAAACATCAGCGTGCATTGTCAAGCTCAGCTGAAGATAATAGCTCATGATCCAGTAGCCTATTTATGACCCAGGTATGGGAGTTGTCTGCTAATCATGGGACAAAAAAAAAAAACATGGTAAACACACAAGAGAAGCAGAAGCAGAGGAATTGATGGATTTGTTCATTTTGCCACTTTAATGAGGATTTGGATTCTGATTCTCAGACTTTAGGAGTCATGAATGGGGTAGTTATAGGTCACTGGGAATTTTAAGGCACAACAGCAAGATTTCATATTCTGCTACTCTAATTAATTTGAATTAGGTAAAGGTTTGCCCAAAAACAGAAACAGCACTGAAAATGAACTTGTGAATTTTGTAGACTGAGAAATTTCCTTAATTAACACCTAAATACATACCCTTCCTCTGCCTCAAGCAAGAGCTTTTCCAATCTTGCAGAGAGAAGAGCAATAGAATGCAAAACTAGAAGTTACTGGTTCTCAAAAAAGTATTAGGAGAAACCTGATGTCTTGCAGCCAGCTGGATGTGGAGTAAATCCCGGCTCTGTCACTTACTGATTGCATATCTTGGATAGCTCACTTAACCTGTCTGTGCCTCTGTTTATGCACCTGGAAAATAAGCAGAATCATACCTATCTTGCAGGATTGCTGTATTAATATCAAGTGATCTTAAGACCTAATGCGTAATGAATGGTTAATAGTTACTATGAATCTAACCCACAAGTGAATGATTTGTCATTTTTCCCCTACCAGTTATGTACTATTTTTCCACTGATGGAACCCTGCCCTCTCCTAACTCATAGGGAGGTTCATGTGGGACTAAATAAACTTCCCCTTTCCCCAAATGTAGAGTTAAATCTGTGCATTAGTTTTCTAGGGTTGCCATAATGAATCAGTAGCCCAGAGAGCTAAAACAACACATGTTGTCACAGTTCTGGGGCTGGAAGTTTAAGATAAAGGTATTATCAGAGTTGATTCTTCTGAGACCAATCTTCATGGCTTGTAGATGGCCATCTTATCCCTGAGTCTTCACGTGGTCATCTCTCTGCGTGTATCTGAGTCCTCATCTGCTCTTGTTATAAGGACACCAGTCATATTGGATTAGGGTCCATCCTAGAAACCTTATTTAATGTTAATTACTCCTTTAAAGACCCTATCTTTAATGCAGTTACCTTCTATGGTACTGGAGGGTAGAGTAGCAACATTTAAACTTGGGTGAGAGGGTCATAATTCAGTCAGTAACAATCTGTGACCCATCCCTACCCAAATTCCTCTCTTCCTAGAATCAAAGTGACTGATTCAATCTTGAACCATTTGTTTTACATTAGCTACAGAGAATTTTTTCATTTGTACAATTGAGTATTGTAAAGATAATCTGGAGTGGGGTGCCAATATAGAAAATCAATATCTCAGAAAGCGTAACAAAGAAATAGAAAGACACTGAATCCTGATGTCATTACCTGAGCCACTGGATCTAGATGGCTCTGAAGCAAGACCTACTTCCTTGACAGTTCAAATGCCTCTGAACACCCTTTTGTAGCTCAAACCACTTTAAATTAATTTGTGATCTCTTGCAACCAAAGAAATTTTGACTGGTGAAGCAGTTTCTTAATTAAGGTCCATATAGAGGCCAAGAAATCTGAAAAAAAAAATAAGAGAATCAAAGAATATACCTGGAATATGGGAGGAATATTTAAAGGAAAAAAAAGGTGGGTAACCATGAACATATATGACTAGAATCAGTGAGTTTAAGAACGGTATGTCTCCTTTTAGTTCAATCCTAAAGTAAGAAAATTTTGCCTCTGCATAGTGGTTAAAGCAAGAATTTCTTCAATAAGCTATGGGCTTCTTGGAGACTACACTGTTTTATTCAGATGCAATGGATCTTTACATGAAACAGGTACTCAGAGACTATTAGTGGACCTGAATGGGCTCACTAAGAAATTGTTTGCATTTTATGGTTCAACATAGACATTCTTTATGTAATGAATTTGCTATTGTATTATATTTGCAAATTCCCAGGACACTCTTTGTTGAAGAATTATGTTAATAATCACATAGCAGCTGAGTGCTAATTTAGTGAGATCTAATAACCCTCCCCATTAGCTGACCTGTAATGGCCTTTTGTTGACCCCCATAAATTGCATTTCACTCTCTGTTGTGACCAGGAGCTTCACACATCATAGTGCCCTGTGAAAAAGAAAAGAATATGCTCATGATGTTGAATAAGTACATGCAGTGAAAAACTTATCCTATTTGGATTTTTGAAGGAAGCAAAATCTTTGGCAGGACATAGAACTGTCTTGGTGGTGAGAGAGGCTGCTCAGAACCCAAGGAGAAGATAGCACATGGTTTTACCCTGTTCACCTAGCTTAATAACATTCATTCCTTCTCTGGAGCCTGCCACATGCTTACCAGGCTGTAGGCTTTGCCCTGGCCCAATTGAAAGGCTGTGAAATGAAAATCTACGATTTTTTTTATTTATTTCCAGAGAAAAACTTATGATGTACTCCCTCCTGACCCACAACACTCAACCAATTTTCACAAATGGAAAAATGCACCCATTGTACAATGAAGTTTGTATTAGCAATAAACGATCTGAGAATACATAAATGTGGTTTAATGCAATGAGAGTTTATGTATTTGCCAAAAGAAGAAGATAAGATCCGATAGTGGGTGGCAGAAAAAGTACAAAGGAGTGATTGTTTGAAAGGGGCATTCTTATTTCTGTACCATTTTCTTTACCAATCTTTCAACTTTTATGGGATTTGTGCTTATCTTATGCTCAAACTTATGCTCAAAATAGTATAGAACAGGATTGACAAATGACAGCTCTTGGACCAAAAATGACCTGCCCATTCCTGTGGGCATTATCTCCGGCAGCTTTTGCACTACAATAGTGAAGGCAAACTTTCTGGAACTTTTAACGATACAAACAGCCCACTGCGGCATGCATGCTACTAGTCACCAACACTGCACGGTAACAACAGTTTTGAGTAATTGCTACAAAGAAAAGACGATCTCCAAAGCCTAAAACATTTTCCATCTGGCCTTTGCAGAAGATTCTCAACCCCTGGAATTAAAAACTCAATGAACAAACACCAAAACACCATCTGGGAAAAATATAGAGTAAATTAAAGGGAACAGTCCCGTCTACAGCACATGCACTCTGCAGGCTGAAGAATTTAGCAGATAAAACTTCTTCATGTCCAGTTTGTCCCATGTATATAAAGCAGAAGGTTTTGGATTTGTCCAAACATGCGTACAACCCAAATTTTTCTGTGATATTTTCTGTCTCAAAAGGGTTCTGTGTACAGAACCCTGTGACTGCCTAAAATTGCAATGTCAAAATGTGACTTTGTATACCATATTTATGTGGGGTCTGGGAGGACAAACTTGTCATCCCACCAGATCAAAGGAAAGCCATTGTGTGAAAAACAGTTTCATTATAATGAAAAATCATTTATGAGCAGTTTTTACATGAGATAAGTCTGGTTTTACTAAAAGTTTTAAGCCCAGCACATTGACATTTTGGAAAGCAAATAAGTCCTGGAGGGGGCTGTGGTCTTCATTGTGGGATATTTAGCAGCAACCTTGTTCTCTAAGCAGTAAATGTTAACACCATGCCTTTGCCCAGCCATAGCAACCAAAAAGTCCTCCAGATCCTGCTGAATGTTGCCTGGGAGGCAAAAATCACCCACCATTGCAAACTATTGGTCTCTGTAGTGTGCCCTTTGCCTCGCCACATCCAACCCCTTGCTGGGTATCACCAGGACCTCTCCCCTGACTCCTACCCTCCCTCCAACTTGCATAATCTGATACCTAGCACTCACTTGGCACTTACAATGTGGCATTTAAAACTGAAAACTTGTGGAGACTACAGGTATAGTTCAATGGTGGAGCATGTTCTTCATATATGCAAGCCTCTGAGTTCAACTCCCAGAACATACAAGTGTGGGGGCACACACACACCCTGGAAACTCAGGGACAACCTTGAGTTCTAATCTTTTTCTGCCACATACTGTCTTGACCAAGCCCCAAGACCTTTCTGAGCCCTTCAGCTATAAAAGGGTGATAAGTTTCATACTTGCCTTGATGGATTACTACTAAGATTACAAGCAGAGCACCTAGAATGCTTTTATTTATTAACTTTCAGAAAAACAACATACAAATGTGAGTTCATATTCTTTCTATTTTATTACATTTCCTCAAAAAAATCCCTGAGGAGAGTTATATGATGTGGCAGAGATGATTATTACTCACAGAATATCCAGGAGCTGCTCTGTATTTTCCACCCTTCCTTACTGCTGGGCCAGGGTCTAGCAAGTGGGTTCTGACAAATGAGAATGTGAATAGGAACGACCTTTTACTTCTGACCCAAGGTTCTTATGGCTCAGAGTCTTACTCTTTGCCTGCTTGCCTCTCCCACGGCAAACAAAGATGCTGCTGTTACTTCTGAAACTGAAAGGTCTCAGATTTCACCTTAGTGTGAGCCAAGAAGTCAGCCTACCAACCTACACACACTAACCCTAAACCAAACACTCATCATACATGGATATGCCATACACACTCCTTTACTGCACATATACCTAACCACACACACAGCTCTACACACACACATATATACCCACACGTGACACCCCCACATTGACTATAGAAGACAACAGGCCCCTACATTAGGAACACAGACTGCTTAATAACATTAACAGTCCTGACACCAGCTTCCTGCACCCCAGTCTTCTGGGGCAACACGATGTCCACCTGTGCATGCAGTGGATTGCATTAAGAACACTGATCCTACAGGACTCTGTCTCTATCAAGCTTCGGGTGACCAGCCTATCCTCACCTATGGAGAGCAGTGTCTCTGGGGCATGGAAGAAGGAGTCTCCAGATTCATTACCCTTGGAGAGTGGCAGTGAATCTATAGCATATGTGCTGCAGCTGGCTGTTTGTTAATATTGACAGATCTAAACGATTCACCATCACTGCCCTGGAATGTAAACAAATCTCCTCCTGGAAAAGGAGCAGACTTTATTATCCTAGAATGTCTCCAAGGAGAAGGAAGTTCCCTATTCTCTGCCGGTTACTCAGTCATTCCTGAACACATCTCTGGTGGTTAAGGTGGAGTGACTTGATTGGCTTGAGATTCATCAGGGGATTAGTAAAGCACATTTCTGGGTTTTTTTAGGTAATTCACGTAGGCACGACATTGGAGTCTATGTCTAGTCCCTTGCCCTTTCCTCTCTGGTACTGTTCTCCTCCTCTGCTTCTTGGACACCATGAGCAGAGCATGCCCTTCCACCATGATGTTCTTGTCATGGACTGAATCCTCTGAAACCATGACCTGAATTAAACCTCTTCTTTCAATTGTGGGTGTCAGGTATTGTGTCCCAAGCTGTGAGAAAGCTAATAAATTTTGTCTATGCCCTTTTATTGTGAAAGCTTAGGCCCTACAAAAAATATTAAGAAATCCAAAGTGTACTGTCTCCCACCAGATGTGTGCTGAGATGATGGTGCTGGGAATGTGGGGCCCTGAGTCACCAGATGGTGAAGAGTCCCCCAGCCTGCATTAGCTTTTATGTACACAAAAAGCAAACCCGCTAGGAGGAAAAGATAAAAAAGCAAAAAGGTTTGTTATATACACTTACCAACTCCCTATAATGAAATTATTATGTACTGTAAATGTACACTAATAAAAATACTTTTTAATAAAAAGTAAATTTTTATGCTACTCAACTCCTGAAATTTCAAGTGTTGAAATTTCAGGTGATAGCTAATGATAATTATTTTTATAAAAATTACTTAAGCATACGTTAAATAAATTATACTTTTATAGGAAATAAGAGCAAGATCATAAGTAGTAAGCTCCAAATGATAATGAGGGAGGTAAGATTTGAGACAGGACAATAGATGATGCAGAAGTCATCTCCTTACTAGTGATAAAGTAAAAAGAAACAGAATTTGAGAGCCAAGCCATGGCCATCCTGGCACACTTCCCCAGTCTCATAACATCCAAATGTCATCGGTCCACCTGGTTCATGAACATCCATACTGGAGCCAAAACTGTGAATGACTTTCACACTAGTTTGCTATTTTCAGATCACCTTAAGCTCAATTACAGTTAATCTAATAATATACCCCAAACATCATGATTGGAAAATCACCAGCCAAGCTGGCTAATTGTATTTGCCACCTCTTCATCATATTAGTACAGTCATAAGTACAGCAAGATCTTCCCAGAGGAGAGCCGCTCACAAGGCCAATTTCCTTACTGTGAGACCTTCATATCTCATCAGTTTGGCACTGATGTGTCTTGGGAAATAAACTGTCAGATCAATAACATTTGCAATCAGGAAATATTTAGAGCAAGTATCAAAGTAGAGCCTGCAATTGTAGCTGACATGACTCTTACCTGACATTTGGAAGTGGTAGTGAGTCCTAACCGTTGGGATGGTCTAAGAGGTCATTTTGGAGATGCTGTACACATTCTCTGGTAAGACACAAAGAAGCCTCATTACTTTACATTACTTTGCAACTTTTTCCCAAACTTGTACTATTATCACTTATCTGGAAAAAGCAAACAGCATTTATTAAGTTCCTTCGGTGTTCCAGGTTTAATGCTGTAAGCAGTGAATGCAGAGATAAGAGACCTTCATGGTAATAAGAAAGCCTGTCTTAGGTCACTTTCCTCATTGCTGGGACAAAATATCCTACCTACACTTTAAAGGAGGAGAAGGGCTCATGGTTTTTAAAGGATTCATCCATGGTTGGCCAGCTCCAGGAAGGAATTTCATGGTAGAAGGGCCTGATTAGAAGACAGCTGCTTATCCCATGGCAGGCAGGAAACAGAAAACCAAGGGAGGAATTTGGGAGGGAAAACTTTCAGGTCACACCCCCAGGGACCCAATTCTAAGAGCACTTTCAGCTATGATTACATCAATGGCTAATCCACTAAGGAGTGTAATGGCCATGATACAATAGCCCAAAGGCCCTACCTCGGAACACATGAGGTCGAGGGATATTCTAGATCTAAACCATATCAGTGTTCAAAATCTAGGTTGGAAACTCCCTAAGACAAGTTCATCACTTCTTTACATCTCAGTTTCCATAACAGGAATAATTGTAACTACTTCCCAAAGATGTTTTCAAAATTGAACATAAGGTATGTAAGGTGTAGCTAACTTGGCACATGGCACCCATGGTACTCAGCAAATAATAGTTATTGTTGTGACTCTAAATACTTCTTTTTAACAGAAGCTAGCAAATGTTCAGTATGCAAGTTAATATCCTCTTTCAATGGGCCATTTGAGGGAAAAAAGAAGTTTAGATGGCAATCTAGATTGACAGACATAATTCTTCCATGCAAAAATGAAAAGCATGTTGTTTATTTTTGAGGTAACAGAAAGAAGTAGCCACTTTCTCCTCATGTTTCCATCTATTTTTTTAGAAATATCCTTTGCTCTAACTGCAATAGTCTGGATATTTATGTCCCCCAAAATTCACATGTGAAAACTAACCTGCAATGTAGTGGTTTTAAAAGGAGGTAAGGGGGGCCCTCATGCTTGGGATCAGCATTTTTGTAAAAGAAGCCCAGTCCTGGAGAGCTGTCTCACTCCTACTATGTGAGGACACAGCAAGAAGCCATCATTCATGAACCAGGAAGCCCTCCCAGATGCTGAACCTGTCAGCAGCTTCTTCTCATACTTCTCAGCCTCCAGAATGATGAGAAATAAATTCCTGATGTTCACACAGCCACCCAATTTATGATACATATTTAGTTATAGCAATCTGAAGAGATATAATATCAACCTAGAATTCTACAAGAATCACAAAAAGATTGAAAAGTCAATAAACAAAGAAAAAAATTATAAAAATCATGGAAAAGTGAGAAGAATTTAAAATTTCAGATGGCTGAAGTTACTTTTGAACTATAGCCCTGAATGCTAGATCTGGCACTGGTTGTGTGACTTTAGGAAAATAGCATAATTTCTCTAAACCACTCTGCAAAATGATAATATAGCAACCTTAATGAATTTAAATATGAGGGTAAAAAGGATAAATTTGAGCCCTTTATAGGAAAACAGGTAGATCTTGAGACCAGAACACTAAGTAACCAGACACAGAGGATTAAATATATAAATAATTTAAAGAGAAACATGAAAGAGAGATGGTAGGAAGCAGGAAAGCAGACTCTAGGAAGCTGGGAAGAGATCCAGGGAAAGAGAAGAGCAGAGAAAAAGAGGAAACAAAAGTGATCAAGACACAATATGAATACATAGGTACCAATTCCCCAAGATGATTGTAATTACAATACATCATAACCATATACTAATAAAATTAGTAAAATTTTAATGAATATGAGTTCTTGCTCCTTATTTTCTTTTATTATAAAACAGTATAAAGCAAATCCTTTCAATTTTTAAAATTTAATTGACAAAAACTTTTTACTTTTATGGTGCACAACAAGGTGCTTTGAAATAAGCATACATTGTGAAATGACTAAATAGAATTAATTAATGTACCAACTGTCTCATGTACATAACCTTTTTGTGTGAGAATACTTAAAACCACTCTTGGCAATTTTCAAGTATATAAAATATTATTAACTGTAGTCACCATGTTATATTGTGAATCTTCTGATTTTTTTCTCCCCATCTGAAACTTTGTGCCCTTTGACAAACCTCTCCCCAGCCACCTCCTTTTCCTAGGCTCTGGTAACCACTATTCTACTTTCTGTTTCCATGAGTTTAGTGTTTTAGATTCTTAAGTGAGATTATACAGGTTTTGTCTTTATGCCTAGCTTTTTCACTTAAAATAATGTCATCTAGGGTCATTCATGTTATCCAAAATGACAGACCTTTCTTTATTAAAGAATAGCATTCCATTTTGTACATAGCACCTTTTCAGTATCCATTCACCCACTGACAGATATTTGGGTTGATTCTCTCTCTTGATTATTGTGAATAATGTTGTCAAAAAAAAAAAAAAGACAGACACGTAGATGAGTGCCAGGTACTCAGGAGTGAGGCAGAAGGATCACTTGAGCCAAGGAATTTGAGATCAGCCTGGACAACATAGTGAGTATGGAAGGAAGGAAGGAAGGAAGGAAGGAAGGAAGGAAGAAAGAAAGAAAGAAAGAAAGAAAGAAAAAAAGGCTGAGGGTGTGGCTCAGCAATAGAGCATGTTTCTAGCATGCAGGAGGTTCTAGATCCAAGTCTGTACATACCAGAAACTAAAATCAAATATAATCAGCAATAAATATAAAACAGAATAAATGTTATAATAAATATAGTAATGCAGATATCTCTTTCAATATAGTATTGATTTCACTACATAGGGTCAAATTAATTCAATGAACATGTATTGGATACATCAAGGAAAAAATCAGCCAATATAAAAACAAAGTTCATAGGTGATCCAAATCTTGAAATTATGTAAAATCATTAAAGTTCATATGATGATCAGAGAAGTAGACAATATGGAAAGTTGCACCAAAGAATGTTAATGTATAAAAACAGAATTAAAAAGATATTCTAAGACCCAAAACCCCAAAACATTGAAATTACAAGCTTAGTAAAATGTTCAACAGTACATTGCACATTGCTCTTTTTTAAAATATAGATTATTGAAATGCAAAACAGAGGTTGGGGATTTAGCTCAGTGGCATAAGCGCCTGCCTTGCAAGCGCTCAGTCGTGAGTTCAATCCCTAGTACCAAAAAAAAAGCAAAAAAAAAAAAAGAATTGCACAACAATAAGTAAAAGATACACAAACTGAAAGTAGAGAATAAACAACACAGAAACTCAGAAAAGCAAATAAGAAGCAAAACAAACACAAACAGTAGAAAGATCTAGCATACGTATAATTGAAGCCCCAGAATGAAAGAATAAGAGTTGATATTTACATAACTCATAGCCAAAGAAACTTCCAGATATGACTACAGATATCAAGACATACCCTCAAGAAGTTCAGAGAACCCCAAGCAGGATAAATAAAAAGAAAACCACAGCAAGGTACACTATGCTATTATGGAAACTAAAGACAAATAAAATTTTAGAAATACCTTTAAAATTACACAGAGAAAAGACATTCACTTTATACAATTATACAAGATCTGACTCCTCAAGACATGATAGAAGCAAAAGGACAATGTAAGGAAATAATATCTAAATTAGAATTCTACACATATGGGGAATTTCCTTAAATGTGAAGGTAAGATAAAGATATCTTCAAGTATATTAAAGCTATAAGAATTTGTCACCTGCAGAACCAAGTAAAATCAAATACTAAAGGGTATTTTAGAGAAAACACAGGAAGAACTGAAAAGTCTCAGAAAAAATATATGATAAAATACAAAAGAATACTGAAAATAAAGTATTTTCTTGTGAGGTTTTAAATATGCCGAGATTTAAATTTAAAAGTTGCAAATACAAAAGATAAAAAGAAAGTAAACTAGTTTATAAAGTAATAGTATTGTCTAGAAAACTATAACAATGCCTATTCATATTGATGCAGATAAACAAAGGAGGCACATTTTAATTTTCAGGACAATTACCAAAAAAAGGTATAAATAACAGGTTAAGAAGAGAAGCACAAATTTAATCTTTATAAATTGGCCCAAATTAAGGTAAGAAAGGGTAAAAGGAAAAGAAACAAGTGTGACAAATAAAAAAATGGGTTTTATATGAAACCAAATATGCCAGGAATCACACTAAATATAAATAGACTAAATATTCTACCTGAAGAAATCTAGCTTGTAGGACTACATTAGAATAAAATAGTTATATGGTCTTTACTGGAAACATACCCTATAGACACAGAAAGTTGAAAATAAAAACAGAAAATAAAGTACTAGTCAAAAGAAAGCTGGGATAGCCACATTAATATCAAAGCAAGTGAAAAAAAGGAGAAAAGAAAAGGAAAAGAAAAAATATAAATATATATACATATACACAAGATACCTAAGATAATTGTACTGTTGATTCTATTAGTTCAAGGAAAGGAACACTTATTGCTCATATTGTTTGATCAATTTTGCATGACTATATCTGGTCATCTGAGCAACTCTTTTAAAGATAACAATATGTAGTATAACAACCATTGTTAAATTTCTATCATCTTGTCTTGAAATCCTATATCGCTATTGTTTGGGGGTTTTCTTTTTGTTGTTGTTTGTTGTTTGGTTGGTTGGTTTTTTGTTTTTTGCTTTTTTCTCTCTCTCTTTAAAGAAAATTTCATAAGCATCTCCCTGGCAAGTTTGATCCTCAGTACCAAAAAATAAAAAATAAAATAAATCAAAGCAAGTAAACATGAAGATAAGAGGCATAACTAGACAAAAAACGAAATCCACTGGGAAGATAAACAATTTTGTATTTACATACACATAATAGCAAACATTCAAAATACATGTCAATAGATTAATAAGGAAAGTAGATAAATCCATAATAGTTCAAATCTTAAATCAAAACAGACCCTTTTACAAATCTTGGATTATACAAATACATTAACAGAAATAAGGAATTTGGGCTGGGGATATAGCTCAGAGGCACAGTACCTGCCTGATAAGCCCGACGTCATGAGTTCAATTCTTGATACAAAAAATAAATAAAGAAAGAAAGAGCTTAGAACATTTAAGAGAAAACTGGTTATTGCACTTTAAAAAAGATTAATAGAACAGAGATAAATATATACTTCACCCAACAATAACAACATATACATTATTTCAAGGTACATGGAACTTTTTTATGTAATTAATCAAACAAATTAATCAAACATTTATTACTCAGAATATATATTCTGATCACAATGCAATTATGTTAGAAATCAAAACTAATAAAAATAATAACTTTAAAACTTTTTAAATCTGCCTAGAAATTAATAAGAAAGCACCGAGTAAATTAGGAAATATTTTATCTGAATCATAATAAAAAGCAAGGCACATCACAACCTGTGGTAACTAAATCTCTAGTGAGACAAAAACAACTTCTAATGGATAAATCAGAAAAGAAGAGAGGTTGAAAATCAATGATATACAATGCAGCTCAAGAAATTATAAAGCAACAAATCAAACTCAAAGTAGAAAGAAGAAAATAATAAAGATAAGAGGAGAAATCAATAATACAGAAAACAAACTTACAACAGAGGAAATAAACGAAGCCCAAAATTGGTTCTTTGAAAACTGATAAACGGCAAGCAAGATCATAGGAGTATTGAAAAGATAACAATATAACATTTTAACAACTTCTTGCCAATAGAATCTAACAATTTAATGAAGCATGCAAGCTGAAAACATACCTAAAAAATTCACACAAGAAAAAAATGAAACATCTGAATACTTCCATATCTATTTTTAAATTGAATTTGTAATTACTTTCTCACAAAGATATCTCTAGTCCCAAATATCTTCACTAGTGAATTCTTCCAAATATTTAAAAGAAGAAATAATACTAACCTCACCCATCTTTCAATAGAAAATACAAAAAGATGAAACACTTCTTGATTCATTTCTCTGCAAGTCAGCATAACAATTATCAGCACCCAGACATCAAAACCTGACTCTGATATTACAAAAAAAGAAAAATTATAAACCAACCCCTCCTATGGACACAAATGCAAAAATCTTCAACAAAAATCGAAGCAAATGCAGCAATGCATAACAACGATTCTGTGTTGTGGCCAAGTTTAGCTCATTTTAAAAATACAAAGTTTCAGTCATGCTTTGACCTGTATTGTTATATTGTTATGTCCTGTTTTATCTCAATCTCTCCCTTATTCTTTAAAAAAATTATTTAGTTATTTCTTATGTTTGTTTTAATTAAGGGGAAAAATTTAAAAAAATTAGCAGGATATATAATAGTAACTCTTTTTGATTTCCTATTAACTTGTTTTGAAGTCCTGTAATACTCCCACGAGCGTGTTTTGACTGATTAGACTCTGTTCCATTCTGTATGATAGTATCAAGTTTGAGGATATAGGCAACTACTTTGAAAGCAATAAGATTCACTAAGATGCCCATTCTGGTTTGACTATTGTCTCCTTTGGAAGTCCTGTAATGTTTACAATGCCTAAGTTTTATTGGTCTTGTTCTCTACTGTTTTGTTCAACTTTATAATATCTAATGAGATAGACAATTCTTTTTAAGGAAACAAGAGATATCATTGATAACCATTGTTGATAACCTTGTACTCTGTTTTACATCATGTGCTATGTCTATCCTTGGTTTTGACTGACAGCTTTGTTTTGCCAAATTTGACTTTATTCTCTCCCCCCCCAAAAAAGTAATAAGAACTAAGGAGTAATAAAATCCAAAATGTGTAAATTTTGTTGTAAAAAAGAGAGGGGAAAAAAAAGAGCTCTAATGGATACAACAGCAAGTGTGTTTAGGGGTGTTAAATAGCTGACCATATTAATGTTTTTGGTTGGATCATTGAACACAACAACTGTTTGCAGTCTCAATGTTTGAATGTCCACTTTGTATTCTTTGATACTGTGATTTGAGCAACTATCTCTAAGATGATAATATGTAATCTATTAACAGGGGATTTCTTACTGTTTTTTTTTTGTAGTTCTGTATTACGTGTACCCTTACACCGCTTTGTTTTGTTTTGTGCTTTTCTCTTTTTCCTTTTAAATAAAATTTTAAAAAAATACAAAGTTTCATATATAAAAGAAATCATATAATTCTTCACATTAATGGAATAAGGAACAAAAAACCTTAGAATTATCTCAATAGATGAAGAAACATATTTTTTTAAATCCAATACCCAGTTATAGATTCATCTTTGCAAACTAAGAATAGGTTTGATTATCAAAAAACAAACAAACAAAAAAACCCTAGAGGCAATGCATCCAAAATGGTGAAATACTGTATGTTAAATTTATTCTTTGAGGTCAGAATGAACTAAGCAGATAAATTATCCCCACATTTGCTGACCATATCAGAAATCCTGGAGACCAATAGTCTGGCCTAACCCCTCTGGGAACTTCCTCTACCATCCAAGTGCAAGCCCTCCTCCAGGTCAGCTGTGGCCAGCTATTTCTAGCTCACTGCAGGTTAGTAGTAGCAAAGCCTTCTCCTAGACATCAGAATCTCAGCTTTGGCAATGGGGAAGGAACCCTTTTTAAGTTTCCAGTTATCTTCACTTATTCTCTATTAATCTGCCCCAACAGCTGATTTCTGCAGTTGTTTTTTTTTTTTTACCCATCAGCACTCTAACCTGACCTTTTTAAATGGTTACTCGCCTGTTTACTAACTTTGCTAGCTGACAAATTTTTATATTAAGCTTTCCTTATTCAAATCGTAGATGTGGTTTTACCTCTCCACAGGATTCTAACTTAATGCAAGACCTAAAGAAGTACAGAAGTAAATTGTGTTCTGAAAAAAAAAAAAAGCCACTCTGATCAAATCCTAACAGGTATCTTTTCAGTTGCAATTGATTAACTGACTTTATAATTTATATAGAAATTAGAAAGGACAAGAATATTCAAGACAATGTTGACTATTAGCTAAATTGGAAGACTTACCTCCAGATATCAAGAGTTAAAATGAAGCTATAGTGTTTTAAGACAAGGGAGATAATGGCACAAAGATAGACAAAGAGTTCAGTAGAGGAGAAAATAGAGTCCAAAACCAGACCCATTATCTGGCTTATGACAGACACTATTCAATAAAACAGGGAGAGGTGCTATTTCCAAAACCTGATAACTTTGTTGATGAAAACTCATATGGGAATAAGAAAAATATCCTTCTTCACACTGTATGCAAAATACATTCCAGGTAGAGGATAGACCTAAATGTAGAAGTACAATAATTAAGTGTTTAAGAGAAAAACCTGGCACATGAAGATTTTTTTTCATTAGGACATGAAAAGTACTAAGTAGAATGATTGATAAATTTGATTTCACTCAAGAACTTCTGTTCATCAAAATCATCAGTGAGGGCCAGGAATTCAGCTCAGGAGCACAAGCCCCTACCTGGCAAGTCGTGAGTTCAATCCCTGGTACCCACCCCCAATAAAAGTCGTCAGTAAGATACTGAGAAAATCCCACAATCTTCCCCACCATTAATGCTTGAAGGCTCTGATTTCTTTGTGTCATCGCCATTCCAACACATTATTTTCCTTTTTATTATGATGATAATGATGATTGTCAACTTGGTGGGTGTGAAGTGATATCTCATCGTGATTTAGTTCTTTAATGGCATATGATAGCTAAATCTCAAAAACATGATGTCAAATGAAAGAAGTCAGTGACAAAAGGCTGCTTACCAAAGGAATCTATCAAAGGAATCATTTCCTTTTATCTGAGATGTCCAGAGTAATCAAGTCCACAGAGACAGAAAGTAGATGAGTGGCCACCGGAGGATTGAGGGGAGAAACAGGGGAGTGGCTGCTTAGCAGGTGTAGAGTTTGCTCTTAGGCTGATGAAAAATTTCTAGAATTAGTGGTGATATTTGTACAACACTGTGAATGTTCATAAAGCTACTGAATTACACACTTTTAAATGGTTAAAGTAATACATATATTATTTGCATTTCAGAACAAAACCTTCATCAAATAAAATGAATGGGCAAACCACAGGGGGGAAGATACTTGCAATAGAGTTAACTAACCAAAACCTCACATTTAGAATATACATATTCATATATAGCAATTAATAAAAAAGGACAGGCCATTTAAATGGGAAAAAACCTTGAACAGGTGTTTCGTAAAGGATATGTATGTAATCAGAAAAGGTATTCAATATTGTTAGTTGTTAGTCATCAAAAAGACAAACTTCAATTTTTTTAAAAATTTTATTTAAGGAGAAAAGAAAGAAAAACAGTGAAAGGGTACAAGTTATACAGATTTACAGAAGAAAAAAATGAACAGTAGGAAATCACTAGTTAATGGATTACCTATTGCCATCTTAGAAATAATTGTTCAAGTCACAAAATTAAAGCTTGTAGAGTGGACATTCCAACAATGATACTGCAAACAGTTCTGTTCAATGATCCAATAAAACTCTGTAATATCATTTTCTATCTTATACACTTAAATATACATGCAGTTATATAGTTTAGAGCACTTTTTTCCCTCTCTTTTGTATAATGACTATTACACATTTTGGGTTTCATTGCTCCCACGGTTCTTATTGCTGTTTTGGAAGAGAGTAAAACCAAGTGTGACATAACCGACCAGAATCGGTCAAGTCAAACTTCAATTTTAGTAAGACACCACTTCGCAGATTTAAACAAACAGCTTAATTCTTTTCAAATGTCAATACCAAATGTTACTAAGGTTGTAAACCAACTGAATCATATTCACTGCTGGTACACAAAAAGTTGATACATTCAGTTTAGCAAACCTTCAGCATCATCTACAATAGTGTAGCATACACCTGCTTTATCATCCAGCCCCAAAGTAGCCCCAAACTGGAAAAAAAAAAGTGTCATCATCAAGTAACAATACTCTGATATACTTGAAATGAAATATTATAAGGGCAGGAAGAAAACAAGAGAGAATAAATTACTACTACTTGAACAAAATTCATAAATATTTTGATCATAAAAACTCAGATCAAAAGTCTATCTTATATAATTCTGTTCCTATAAAGTTCAAAAACAGGTCAAGTTAGGAGCTCGAAGTAAGGTTGAAAGAAAGGTTACTTCGACAAGAAGCAGAGTCGATTGGGGTTACTGGCAATGCTCAAGTTCTTTGGTTATTTTTTTTTTGTCTTTTTCATTTTTATCGGTACCAGGGATTGAACTCACGACTGCCTGCTTGCAAGGCAGGCGCTTTTGCCACTGAGCTAAATCCCCAGCCCCAATGCTCAAGTTCTTAAAAAGGCATTGATCTCTGTGCATAAAATGTGTGCACTTTGGTTACGGCTAGTTGGTTGCATTGTTCTGTTCTGATTTGCTTTGTTTTGTTTTGTTTTGTTTTGTTTTTATTCTCTTTAAAGTGTGTGCTCTTTCTGGTTGAATATTATGCCTTAGTTAAAATGCTAGTTTTTAAAAAATGAAAGATGGACAAATGTACATCACATACAACTGATTGCTACTAAGCAATGAAAAAGGAACAAACTACTGTTACATGGAATAAGTTGGGTGAATCACAAAAGCATTACCCTGAGTAAAATAAATCAAGCTCATAAGTTACATATTGCAGGATTCCATGTATATGACAATCTCAAAAAAAAAACCAACAACTATAAGATAGAGATTATGTCTGTGATTGGGAAGGGTTTCGGATGGGGAAGAAAGAGCACACGAGGCTATTTTGGGATTACAAAAGTTTTTACCTGATTGTGGTGGTGGTTAAAAAAATTACAAATGTATTAAAATTTATAGAATGTATATTCTCTACCTCCCCTCAAAATCAACTTTATTATATGAAATTCCTTAATGAGAAAGTACATGCTTCAAAGGTGATTCCTAAGTTGGCATTACTCACTAGCTATTTGTCTTCATACTAAATCTCCCTATTTCCCATCTTCCTCCTAAGAATAATGGGGTAACACACCTCTCTGCTAGGGTTATTTTGATCATCAAGTGGGCTAACCACACAACATTTAGAACACCTATTACATAAGTGCTCAACAAATAACAGCATTCATTATTAAACACATACATATCACGTGCGACTTATATCGTGTTATGTAATTTTAAGACAGAATTACTTCTCTTTTTTATTTTTATTTTAAAGGGGGTAAAATTAAACACAACAAAACAACAAAATAGAACATAAGAAAGCAATGTAAGAGAGAGAAATTTCAAAGCTAGACAACCTGAGATCTTCACTATCTACTATATTGTCTCTTGTTTTCTTCCAAATAGTTGTCCCTGTCTCTGTATACAGACAATGCATACAAAACAACATAGTATAAAACTGCTCCAAACAGAATGAGGAAGGCGTTTTAGGTCTTCAAAACCAGACAATAGGGAAGTCACTAATGGCTGTCACAGAGTCTCTTGTTCTCTTCAAAATAGCTGTCCATACTTTCATGTATATTGAAGTTCAACAAAACAAAACAGGCAGCAGGGAGGGGTTGCTTGGTTTCCCAGCGCTCCAGGTCCCAGCATGGCTCAGGTCCCAGTAAAAGCCGGAGGCTCCCATGCTGGGCCGCGGTAGCCTGCCACGCTCACAGCCACTCATGGGGCGTAGCTGTTTCTCTCTAATGAATTGACTATTTCACCGCCCAAGTTCTGAAATGGCCAACAGACCACAGAAAGACATCTCTTTAGGCTCCTGCTTGAAACCAACAGCATCAGGAAGCTGCCGGCCTTGATTCAGGGCCATAAGACACAATTACTTTTCAACAACCCACATATTCATCAGCTAATGAACAGACAAAACGTGGCCTTTCCATCCAAGGGCCTACAACTCAGCCCTTACATGGGATGAAATATTGCTACATGCTATAAGATGGTGAACCCTAAAAACATATTGAGAAGTAAAAAAGGCTAACTGGAAGAGGACACATGGTGTGTGACTCTGTCCACATGAAAAGTCAAGAATAGCAAACATACAGAGATAAGAGAGTAGGTCAATGGTTGCCAGGCAATAGGGAGAGGGAAAATTGGTACAGGCTTCCTTTTTACAGTGACAGAAAGGTTCTGAAGCCAGATAGTGGTGATAGCTGCACAAATCTATGAATACACTAAAAACCATTGACTTGCATACTTTAAAGGGTGAATTTTATGGTGTATGAATTATATCTCAATAAAGCTGTTATTTAAAATATATAACAACACTTAAATGTGAGCTTACTGTTCAGGCAACTTTCATCTATCTACTTGTTCAAAACCTTATATTGTTTTTAAAATCTTTAAGTGTATTTTTGGTATTTTGTTTCTGTTTTGTTATTTTGGGGGGGGGTTCTTGTTAGGGGTTTATATGTTTAGTTTTCCATAATAAATTTGTTTTTAAATGACCGATAGCTTTTAAAAAACAGGTTATTCTAACTTTAAAGGATTAATTTATATTAAAGGATTAACTTTAAAGGATTTAATTTATATTAAAATATAAAATGAAGCTGTAAATAATTGAAAATATTAACCAAAAAGAGTTGTGATAAAAGCCACTTAATGGTCATTAATCTGAATAAGCAGGTTTTAAATCATAAAGTGGCATTTGATTGACCCATAATAACTGGCTTATCAAATCATTGTCTGAGACAGTCCCAAAAAGAAAGGATTTTCAGTAAATATTAGTAAAGCCCAAGAAACAACAGTGGTAGTTTGCACAAACCCAGTGTGGCTTAATAAAAACCCACAAGCACTCACTACCCTGCAGGTGTGACGTTAGACAGTGAAGGTACAAGCAGAGAGCAAGAAACCAGTGCCTCTGCTTTCCTGTGTCTCACAGCCTAACTGCCAGCATTATCCAAAAGAAACTGAAAATGAGCCACATCTGCACCGCTCCATTTTCTGCAAACCACTTAAAGAAGCAAAAAAGAAAGAATTAAAATTAAATTTAGGTGTTTTTTTTTTTGTTTTGGGGGTTTTGTTTGTTTGTTTGTTTGTTTGTTTTTGCTTTTTGCTTTTTGCACAGGGGAATTGGGCCCAGGGTCTTTAATTGGGCCACATCCCTCAGCCTTATTAATTTATTTTTATTTCAAGATAGGGTCTTACTAAGTTACCTAAGTTGGCTTTGAACTTGTGATTCCTCCTGCCTCGGCCTCCTAAGTAACTGGAATTTTAGGCATGTGTCACTATGCCCAGATAATATACTTCACTTGACCTAAAATATCCAAAATGTAATATAAACACATTATAATATCAAACATTATAAATGAGATATTTACATGCTCTTATTCATACTGTCTTTGAAAGTCAGATTGCAGTCTATACACACAGCACATTTCAATTAAGGCAGAACCACCTGCACTATTCATGCATATCTTTAAATTGATTTATGTCTTATTTAGAAAAACTCCAACATATACAAGTAGCAAAGCATCATCCTTGCCCTTGATTATCAGCAAAAGCTGGAAATTAAATATAATACACTAAATGCAGCAAAATGCTCTATAAATATGCTGTCCACTGAAGACCTTCACACTGTGACTTGTTTTCTTTTTCAAAGGCAGATTGGCCAGCATTAGAGAAGTATTAGAGATGCATAAGAACCAAACAAACACTTTCAGCCATCAGCAGCAGACTACGCATTTAAAGGTGAACAACCATATGATTCATCTCTATTTGTTGGTCAGGGCTACCTAGTGTCATCCTGTGTGTAGCCAGAGGCACACACACCACATTGGCCCAGAGAATTCTCCCTGAATTGCTTGACTTCAAATAAGCCTCTCTACCCCCTCATGTGGCTTAGTCTCTGAAAAATGCACATCTTGGAGTGGGAAAGAGTGACTGGTATACAGTGTGTATGTGGCCCACGTGGTCACAATACACTTTTCATAGAAATGGTGGGGTTATCTTGCCACTGAAAGAAACATACATTTGCAACATGAATGCTTTCCAAAAGAAGAAAAAAACATACATTTGCAACATGAAAGCTTTCCAAAAGAAGGCCAGGCATGGAGGTTCTTTCATGAGCCAGTGAAAATGCCACACACGCATGTAAATCAGAACCCTGAAGACATCATGACCTTGAGAGCAAATCCTGTCTCCAAAGTAAGCACACTCATCCTTCCCTCTGTCTACTGTTCATGCTTTAGCGTGTCCATAAGGTTGAATCCTAATGTAAATAAGTCTAGCTAGAAAGCGTTTTTCAAGGAGGCAGCACAGTGAAGTGGTTTAAAACTCAGCCTGCCAACCACAGGCTGGCATTCAAGCCCTCCAGATCTATGATGACAGGCAAGTGACTGGACCTGTCTGAACTCGTGTTGCTCATCAGTGAAAAGGGGATAGTAGTCCCTGCTGGTAGAATTACTGTGAGGATTAAGTAAGTCACATGTCTCAAACACTCTACACAGTCCTGACACTGAAAAAGCACTCAGTATCATTGCTACTCTGATGAAAATCCTGTACCAATCAGCATGCAGTAGGAGAAGCAAAACCAACTACTGGAGACAGATAATCAGGTAGACAAATGTTCATGCAGTTTATACACGACATATACTTGACATACATTTTATGTGTATAATATGACACATATTTAACATATATATGAGATGTAAATATGATAATTAAATACATTTATAATATAAGAAATACATAAATAATTGTGCATAAACATATACAGAGGAGCTGGCCTTACTCAATTGTGTGTGCTGGTTAGCCATCTTAGTGAGGCTGCTGTCTTCACATTTGACACTGTTGGAGCTCCATGTCCTCAGGGCAGCAGTTGGGAAGAGGCTAGTGATGCTAGGTGGTGACCACATTGTGCTGGAGCTCTGAACAAAGCTTAGGTACTCCAACTTTCTGTGGTGGGCAAAATTAGCTACCCATCCTACTGGGATCTTGTCTCCTGTTCATAGGCCTCTGATTCTGCTCATGTCTTGAGGTGCCTAAGGTACCATTCTCAGCCCTGAGTGCAGGTGTGAGTCTTGACTGACCTAAGACACTCATGAGAGGACATCTTACTCTCCAGAGACTTTCATAATTTTAGGTATGGGATAGGACCCTGGCCAATAGACTTGTAGAAAAAAGGGTTGGTGGAGCCTCTGGAAAATATTCACCTTAGTGATTACAAAAAAAAAGAGGAAAACTGACAGGAGAGAACACAGTCTCAAATTAATTCATCAGAATCACAGTGTGTAGAAATACGGAGGGAAAAGCTTGGCTTCTTGGTGATATCGCTGAGTGGCTGAATTGGTCACTATACAACCATCTCCCTCCAGAATTCTTGTGATGCAACAGGATTTTTTCTTAATGCATGAACCTTTTCTGGCAGGGATTTCTTTTATTTATAAGCGAAAGTATCCCACAAATAGAGTCTTAGATTCAATCCTGCTTGGTTCTGTAGGTATATGATTCACTGGTCCTCAAATATGCCACCAACATCTTCAGCTATGCCCCTACTCTTCCTGAGCACCCACCCTCCACATCCCCTTCCTTAGATTTTTCACTAGCAAATCCTTGTCAGCCCTAAGAGATCAAATTATCACTTTTTCTCCTAGAGCTTCTTCAATTCCCCTTTTTTTCTAAGACATATTAATTACTCTTTCCATACTCCCCAGAAATGCTCCAAAAATCACTCATTTCACCATTTTCTTCTGTGAACTTTATTAGTGAATCTATCTCCTTGGTTGCATAATCCTCTACATCTTAACCATTTCTGCATTCCCAGCAATGACTGCTAAATTGAATTAATGTCTTAGTCACCATCTATGACTCCAAACTTCCCATCTTTAAAAGAGACCATCAAACCATGGATGCTCTCCAAGAAGAACTCAGTCTAAAGACAGAAAGAGAGAGTCAGTGACCTTCAAGACTCATAGCTCTGTGATAATTTTACTCAGCTCCGGATGTTGGCATCCAGTCATAGGAAGCAGGACACTGGAGACTGGTCAGCAGCTTGCTTCTGTTTGATAAGGATCCAGAGAGTTACATCCATTCATTTATTCTCTCACCCAGTGCAGATGTACTCTACAGTAATCATTTTGTGCCTGGCATATGCTGGGCACTGGAGGTAACAGGACAATCAGCTGTGCTTTATGGAACCCAACTATTGGCAGGAAAAGAAAACCAGCACAAATACCTATGACACATGCTGCAAGTGCTAGGGAGACCTGGAAATCAGAGGTCTGACTCAGGCAGGAGAAGTCAGGCGATTCCTGCACCAGTAGTGCTGCACAAATAATACCTAAACTAGAGCACCGTGAGGTCACACAGTGTACCCAGCAGAGGGAAGAGCATGTGCAAAAGCTCAGAGGTAGAAGACAACATAAGAAGCTTTACAAAACTCAGTTTATCTAGACCATAGAGTAAAATGTATCTGAGAAGGTAGGCAACGTGTGAAGTGCATGGCACAGGCGGAGTAAAGCTTTTGGAATTTATCCTGAAGCAAACAAGAAGCCATTTAAGGTTTTGGGCAGTGAATTTTCTTAGTAAGTGCCTCTGATTTAGTGGAGATAGGCTTGAGTTAGACTGGGGGCAGGAGTACTAATTAAACTGAAGGCAGAGGTGCCTTAAATTTAGGAAAGATTTGGAGAGGGAAAGAATAAAAGTATATCTATCAGAATTTAGAACACTGCTAATCTCTAAGTTACTTCTCCAACTTGGCTGGGGAAACACAGACTTTCCTTCTCTCTCTCTCTCTCTCTCTCTCTCTCTCTCTCTCTCTCTCTCTCTCTATCTCTCTCTCTCTCATCTCTCTCTCTCTTCTGACACACACACAAACAAACACAGAATATCTTAACACACTAATACTGGGTGTCATTCAAATAATGTCTGCAGAATCTTACCACATTTTGCGGGGCAAGGACAAATTTACTTGATGCAGTAGGTAAGATAAAAGCTATGTTAACCAAAGTTAAGCAGATATTGTTATTTCTGATCATTTCAGACCCTCCATACGCTACTAAGAAATTTCTAAAACAGAAAATACAATAGGACATCTTTTTGCAAACTTAGTTGGACAAGAACCGATTCTCCCTCAGCCTTTCCTATCATAGCAGTGAAGCTTTTGCTTATTATTGTTTCCCCTACTCACTCCAGTGAATTAACCAGCAAGTCCTATTGACTCTGCTTTCAAAACAGATGCCCAGTGCAACCACTGCTCTTGCCACCCCCTGCTTCAAACTATCATTTCTCACCTAGATGGTTTCAACATCCCCTAACTCAGCCAAGGCTTCCATGCCTGCCCCCTACAGTGTATTCTCCTAGTGTAGCCAGAGTGATCAAAAATGTAAGTTAGATCCTGTCCCCTCACTATGTAAGATCATCCAAAAGCCTCCTCTTACACTCAGAGTAGCATTCAAACACCTCACCTCAGCTACAAGGGATGATATGATCCAGCCCTTGCCCACCCCACTGGTACTCTCCCAGCTTCATCCACAATGAGCCACATTGCCCCACTGCTCCTTCAAGCCATCCAGCTCAGACACAGCTCAGGACTCTTCACTGCAGTCCCCTCTGCTAGGAACACTGCTCTTCCACATCTATACATGGCTTGCTGCTTCTCATCGCTTAAGTCACCATGGATAAAGGGGCTTGGCCTCACTTTTCAAAGTCTCCAGCATCTACAATAGCGCCAGGCACCTGGCAGGAGCTCAAAAAGACTCAATGAATGAATTTATATGTGAATGGCAAGGCACCACGGCACTCACTCTTCAGGAGCACATTTGGCTGAACAAGGGTAATGAAATTCTCTTCCTCTTGCTCCCTTCCAGATGAGGACAAGAAAATTCCTCTCAGAAAAGAAAAATCATCATCTTACTTTGCCCCAAGGGGCAAAACCCAACTTCTACAGGTTAATTCAAAGCTCCAGTATGGACTGGCAAGTGATAGTTGCTATGTACCAGTCCTGGTCTATCTCTGTCTCTAGCACAGAGTTCCCAAATATTTGAGGAAGAGACAGAGGAAGAAAGTACTGGTTCTCCGAGTGTGTCTGGGAAGTCTAATCTTTGGCCCTAATTGTTCCATGCCACCTTACAGTCTTTTCCAGGTGACTTTCAAGGGGTCAGAAAGTTGCTAAGCCTTAAGGAGCCCTGAGGAAGACAAAACTGAGATCCTTAAGGAGTGCTGGGGCTGGATGCTGCACGAGCCTGAGGTTTGCACCAAAGTTCAAATCCCAACGCAGTCTAATCTGATCCACACAATCTTCTCCCCTGCAGTGATCTCTTGATGATAAAGGGACCTTAGGCAGATTAGGTACTTTTTATAAAAAGTTTGTTTATCCGTTTGTTTATCCATAATAAAAAGGTTATTCATTCCTGCTTAGTCATTGCAAGAATTAAACACACACTAAATGTACTTAGCACAGATTCTGACATACAAATGCAAAAATGATCAACTATTACATTAATAATGATGAATGGTTTCCACCTAACTCTCCAAGCCTTGATTTCCATGCCTTTAAAGTGGAGCAGGGAGCAAAAGTGTATGGGTTTGTTATAAGGATTAAATCAGTAGTTCTCAGTCTTTGCTGCATGAGAATCACTGAGGAAGGCAGTGGTTTAGCTCCTGAGGCTAAAGTTCCCCGCCCAGCCAGACAAATCACATAATCTCTGGGCATGAGACCCATGCTTAAGTATTTTTCAGCATGCAGCCAAAACTGAGTGCCAGTGAATTACATGAAATTACATTGTACACACATAGCAGGTACTAACCTCCCATCCTCCTAGCCCTAAAACAGGTCCCTGGTGTGATCCAACACCTTTGCCACTTCTATGATGATAGAAACAGAAATGACAAAGTTTTCAGAAAATCAAGTAATATGTAACTTTACAAGATAAGTGATACAAATTGCATGCAATCAAAAGTTAATTATGCAAATGATCTTGTGGCCCATCTATTTCCTAGGTTTTGATGAGACCCTGGGAAGATTTGGGTTGAAATACCTGTCTTAAGCGATAGATACCCAGAGAGAAAGTTACTGTCTCAACAGCAGATGTTCCCAAAACAAGGTAGCTCACCTGGGAATAAGGAAAATGAGCAGCCCAGCAGAAAGGAAAAGGGCTTGTTTTTGCTCTAATCAAGAAGTAGGTGATCTTTATGTAGGGTTTAATTATCTCAAGACTAGCTGCTACTTCTTCCTGTTTCAAGGAACATATTTGAAAGTACTGGTGTAGGAGTAGAGTAAATTATTAACACCAATAGCACAAGGCAGTTTTGCATTGCTTTTCATCTATGGCTTTGAAAGCACTTTATAAATACTGGTTAATTAAGTCACTCTGCCCTTACAATGAAAATATCACATCTGTATCCCTCAGATGGGTAAAATCACTTTCACTGGAAGACCCTAATCCGTGATACCAGTCAATGAGTGAACATGTCTAAAGTATAGGGCCTCGCACTGGGCAGCAGGTGGTTATTGTTATTATTAAGGGTGAGGAAATGGGAGGGATGCTTGGTAACTTTCACAGAAGAATCTACCCTTGTGTTGGAAAAGCAGGCCTTATTTGCTCTCACATTCATCCTTCCAGCAGGCATTTCTTGAATGCCTGAGCTTGGAAAGGAAATGCTAGACTCCTAAAGACAGGAATTGCATCTTAGTCATAGCTGCATGTCAGAATAGCCACTGGGACACAGTAAACCATCAGAGGACTTTAGTTGAGAAATTAAATGAACAAAGATGAATAAGATACAATCCAGATAAACACACAGAGCCTGCAGCGGAGGTAATAAGGTCCCTGCTGCAGGTCCACTGCTCTTCCCTTAATAAGAACGGTAACCACTGGCTACCTTGTGCTATGCCCTGTGATCTAGACACATCCGCACAGTGACTTCTCAGAGTCACTGTAAGAGCCAAGGGTTCTTATTCCCACTGATGACAGAAGGAAACTGAGACTTGAGGCACTGAAGAGAAGTAACACAGAACAGTGATTGCAACATATGGACTGTGGCATCCAGAAATTGCCCTCTGCCCTCACCAGCTTAGATGTGTGAAGTGGGTTCGCTGTACTCTGGTTAGGTTACCACTTAGCAGAATCTGGTGAAATATAACACACACATGAAGTTACCTGCATCACAGGTTTATTAATTACAGATAGGTAGCAACAACAACAGAAGCATGGAAGCGTTATAAGCTGGGGCCCCAAGGCTCAGCATAGCTGCTCAGGGTAGATAGAGCCCTGTTTGCACAACTGAGGCACCCCTCAAAAGCAACCTTGCCTGGATTTTAGAGCCAGGACCCACTTAACACGCTAGGCTAAAGCACTGAATGACATCCTGGTTTTAGAAGGGACTGAAACAATCCCAGCTGGTCCAGCCAGTCTATCCTTGTCTCAGGATGTGAATTTCCAACACATTCTGTAGTTATTCTTGAGACAAGTGAGAAGAGGAAAAGGAGAACCGGGCTGGTCCAAAGCCCATCTGGAGAACTTTCTGCAGTGTGGGACAATTGTTTTAGCTTCTTTTAATCCTTAGAATCCTCATTTGTAAAACGACTCTCTCTAAGAGCATCATCTGAGAATTGAGATAACATAGGGATCTTACTTAGAGCAATACCCAGGACACATGGAATACACAGTAAGTGTCAGATACCGTTGTCGCTACAGTACCACTCAAGGCCAGGCCAATATTCCAGCCAGCTCCATCAAACACTGTGATCTTTCCACAACAACTCAGCTTCTCCTCTTGGCAAATATTCCCACATGCCAGGATCGTCCATAACGTTCCTTCTTCAAAGAGTTGCTTTTCCTGTATCCCCTTATGTTGCCTTCTAGCCGTTCTCCTTTTGCATTCTCATTCTGTCAAATCCAGTCCATCTCACCCTGATAGTCTTGACATCACTGACATTTTCCCTGAAGCACACAGAGCATTCACAATTTTGCCAAGAGTCATTCCTTAGACATAGCTCAGTGTCTATGAAAACATGGATCTGAGTTCAAACTGAGTCTTTCCATGTACTTAGGTGCTAGAAGTAATAATGGCAACTATTTCTCAGTCTTGTTGCAAGATATAAATGTAATGAATTGTGGACAGTCCATGGCATGCTGGGAGCACAGAATAAATACTTGATAAATATGAATTTATAATGATTGTTCTCAACTGGGTATTTTCGACCAAGGGTAACTTTCAACTCCTAGGTAGGATGGAGCTAGATTTGTCAAAATATCAGGATTCCAAGCACAAGCAATGAAATAAATAAATACATATTTTTTCTTTCATTTTTTCCCCTGTACCAGAAATGAAACCGAAAGCCTTGCACTGAGTTAGATTCCTAGCCCTATATTTTTGTGTGTGTGTGACAAGTTCCCACTGAGTTCCCCACACTGGCCTTAAACTTGTGACCCTTCAACCCCAGCCTCTTGAAATAATTTTTATAGAAGTATGTCCTATGTAATATTTGCAATACAACAAAACAGTTATTGTTTATCTAAAATTCATACTTAACTAGAAGACTTATATTCTACCCTCAGATGCTACCCAGGAGATATTTGGCCATGTCTGAGTTGCTGTGGCTGGTGCAGGGTAATCTGGTATCTAATGAGTAGAGGTCAAGGGTACTACTAAACCTTCTTCACTCACAGGAAAATCTTCCATGACAAAGAATTATTGAACATGATGCGTTAATAGTGCTGAGGCTGAGAAATTCTGCAATAAGCAATAGATCATACAATATTCGGGGGAAGGGTTATTGGAAAATGTTTTACACCCCATGGTGCATTGAATTTCATCCCTCAAAAAAAAAGGACACATCCAAAACTCAATTCCCAACACCTGTGAATGTGAATATATATGGAAATGGAGTCATTACAGATATAACTAAGTATCGCCAGATGAGATCATAGTAGATTTAGGGCAAGTCTGTCATCCTTCTCCCAGAAGGAGCAGATGATGGGAGACACAGAGAGAAGGCCATGTAAAGATGGAGGCAGACGCTGGGGTCACAGAGTCCCATCCCATGCATTGTAAGCAATCAGCAGAAATCTGAGAGTGGCGTGCAACAGATTTTTAACTGCAGAACCTCCAGAGGGAACCAGTTCTACCAACACTTTGATTTCACACTTCTGGACTCCAGAATGATAAAAGGGTAAATTTCCACTGTGTTAAACCTCCAAGTTTTTAGTCATTTGCTATGGCAGCTCTGGGAAACTAATACAACCCTCGATATGTTTCAACTCAAGAACTTCCCTTCTCTTTCTTTCATTTTTTAATAGTAATTATTATAAAATGCCTTGAGCCTGCAAAAAAAGGATAGGGATTAATGAACATTATGAGCTCATCACTATCATGGCAAATGAAATTTACATGTACTAATGAAATCCCAAAGGTCCTTCCATCCCACCCCACTCTCTCCCCCAAGAGGCAAATACTCTTTTGAATTTGGTGTTAATCATCCCCTTAAGTATTTTTGTATCTTCATCATATATATGAATTCCTAAATGATAAATAGAATGTTTGCCTGTTTCTTAATTGTATATAACTAGTATCCTGTAACATGTAACCCTCAGCATCTTGAATTTTACCTAACATTGTTTTTGAGACACATGCTGATTCATTCATGTGGCTCTGATTCATTGGTTTTCACATGTGCATATATCACAGATCTATTGACACACTTTCCTCTGAGTAGGCATTTCAAGTTACTGTTTTTGTTTTGCTTTTTTTCATTTTTTATTATTATAAACAATGCATCTGTGAAATTTCACATCTCCTGGTCTGCATTGTCTGAGAAATTCTCCGGGGCTCAGTTTCTTAAAAGCATGGTTGCAGAGCCACTGGTGAATAATGAAATCATTCTGATGGCTTTGTGGTCAGCATAGCTTTGTGCAAAAAAAGAAGATAAAATATATGAATGTGTCATATTAAGTATTGCCTCATAAAACTAATGTTTCAATTATAGATCAGTTTATGCTGGATTACAGTACAGAAGGTATTTCTTACTGGTAGTGGTAGCTAAAATTTAAAGTAAAAAGTTTAGAAAAAAGTTCTCTAGGGTCTCACTGCTCAAAGCATGGTCAGAGGGCCAGAAGCAGCTGGATCACAGGAAGCTGGTGAGAGATGCAGAATCTTGGGTTCCATCTCAGACTGGCTGTGTGCAAGTCTGTATTTTAATCAGAGCCCCAGATTTTTCAGCTACCCGTTAAAGTGTGTAAAGCAATTCTCTAGTGTTGTAACAACAAGTGGAATCACTTGCCATAAAAGTACCCACATTTCCCTCACATCTGCTTAGTACTACTAAAACATAATACCAAGTAGTTGTACGAAAGAGTTCCTTAAAGATCTGCCTCTAATGTTAGAGTTTGTAGTAAGATGTCATTTGATCAAAGTATTCGATAGCCTCAAATTTTTAAAAATCAGTCTTTTACTATTTTCTTGTGACTATGTCATTCTCCATCCCTTTCTCTAAGCAGCGAGGAAGGCTTGTGCTAAACAAGGCCTTGTGCTAAACAAGGCCTCTCTTCTCAAAGAATGAGGCTCCAAGGGACAGCTGTTATCACATGGAACCACCTGAGAGGCTCAAGCACCATGTCCTAGAGAACCGCCAGCCCCAGAAAATACACTACTCCTCCTTGGCAGCTGCCGGCTTTCTTGAAGCTGAGAGCATCCATAAGCCATTCCAAAGACCCTGACTGTTTCCAAGCTCGAGTGGCCCCACTCCTGGATGCAAAGTTTAATTTGATTTTTTCACTCGAGTAACTAAGACATTTCTGACACATTGCTTCAAAGAGGTCCTGGCACTGTGCTAGCAGAGTCATTTCCGCAGGCCTCCTCTTTTCACTCTGTCTCCTGCTTCCTTTTCCTGAATTTTCTATGCCTGGTCTCTGCCTCCACTAACCTGCCTCCACTTCCTTATGCAGTATCAAAGTAATAACACACCTCTGTGCTGGAAGCTGCTGCCTACTGAGAATCTATCACGGGCCTGCAGCTGTTCTGTGGATACAACACAGACAGACATTATCAGTCTGGTTTTATGGCTGAGATCATTATTTAAGATGCAATCAGTCCCACTAATAACACAGGGGTTGGTTTTTCAAATCAATGGCATCTCATTGTCATGTGGATATACTGGATAGCTTTTGTGATAGTGTGGCCAAACTTGGTCATTTTGCCAGTGACCTGAAACAGGTCACTGTACCTTCCGGACACTGCAGTCAGCAAGTTATATCAGGACCATGTGAGCAAAGACTATACACATCCTGCTTGTTGCCTGAGACCGTCCTCTGACGTTTTCTGATAATACCAAGAAAGTATCAATGTTAAAACTTGCAGAATGCACATCAGAGGTTTGAATAAAAACCCTTGGGGCAATAGCAGGGCCTCCTCTCAAGAAATGCTACATTGCCAATGCTCTTGATGACATGATCTGGTAAGACTACTGGTTAAAAAACCTACTCTAAACAGTGGCTTAAAACAATGGCAATCACTGATGTCACCGCTGATGCTGTGGGTTGACAAGGCTAAGCCACTAAGCCTCAGTTTGGGATCTCTTGTGCGGTTGCAATCATTGTGACTGGGGCTTGGATCACCTAAACGTTTCCTTCATTCATATGTCCGACATCTGGGCTGGGAAGACTCAGACAACTGAAGGCTGGAAAAGAGCAGGGACTCTTTGGACATCTCTCTTCTAAGTGTCCTTCCCTCTTCGTGTTCTTTCAGGATAACATAGTTCTTACTGGGGGACTGGAGGTACCCAGAGTGAGCGAAGCAATGGAAACTAGCAAAGACTTTCCTGCCTCTCCATTCTAACCTTACCTCAGAGTCACACTTTGTCACCTCCACTGCATCTGTTCATCAAGGCATCTGTTCACAAGATAGAAGAACAAGAAATAGAAACAGCACCTCTTGATTAGAGGAATGTGAATGAATGTGCAGGTATTTTTAAGGCCAGTATAGTCATGGCACAAATTATGTACATTCATCCCACAGGCAACAATTACAGCTCCCTTCCCAAAGACCCAGAAACCTCATCTAAAGTGCTGTCAGGCTCAGTTCCAGGATCCTGTTGTGGAAATCAAATCCAAGTGCGGTCAGGCTCCTTCATAGAAATTCTGCAAGCCCAGCTCTTTGAGTGCAGTTTCTCTGGATCTGAGGCCCTGTGAGCTCAAAAGAAAAAAATATATTTCCCAACCCATCCAGTCTATCACAGTGAGACCCACACACTGTAACAGACATTTAAAAGGAGGGAAATGGGAGTCACCTGGGCATGTGTTGCCAGTGCCTTGATTAGTTAGAGCGCACTCTAGCCACCTAGGAATGACTCTCCACAACTCTAAGCTCCCAATCCTGGCTCTGGGTGGTCCAACCTCCCAAATCATCCTCCCATTTATATAAGAAATGGTCAGTATTAGCAGCTGAGTAGACATGTTTGTTTGTTTGTTTACCTGCTTCTTCCCTGTTCTAGTTTGAAAAGTAAATCACTTCTTTATGCTTTGGATCATCTTGTGGGGAACCAGACTGTTTCAAAGCTCAGGGGCATCTAAGGACACCTGAGGATGTGACCCCACATATCCAGTGCAGGCACACAGTGGGATACAGTTAGTTAACCTTGACTTAGCACAGATAAATGTGCGTGTTATGGCACGACATAAGAATGTAAATATGTGATAGCAATCTGTATAAGAATCAGACAAGACAAGCAATCTGTATAAGAATCAGAAAAGACGCAAGCAGCTCTTGCTCTTGTGCTCTTGCACACTCGTGCTCTGCTCTGTGCCCCGCTGCCTACTTTGTTGCTGACGTCTTGCACACACATGCATTCTTTAATCTTGGGACCTCACCCTTGAATATCTCTCTTGGGCCCCATAAGCAGGCAACATGCCTCTGTCCTAGTGAATCTAAAGTGAGGCTTTTCCATTCGTAAAATCATCTTTAAAACTTCTTGAGCTCCCTATCTAGCTTAGTGGGGTTCACCTCATGGAATAAAAATCAGAAATATCTTCAAAGTCAGTCTTTCCTTACTGTGCTCCCTCTGAGACCAATGCCTTTAAAATCCTTAGATGCTCTAGTATTTGAAGGAGAAGATTTATGGGAGACACATGGAAGATTCTGAAGAGCATTTTGCCAGTTCAAAAGGTGCCCTGGTCTTTCTGAATTCCTAACAAAGGATCTTATAGTCCTACCATAGATGTGGTATTTGGCCCTGAGGCCCTTTTTAATTCGACTGATCTTTGCCATCTGTAAACTCAGCAAGTTTTATTTCCTTTGTATTGACTCCAGGTTTTTATTTAAATTAAATCATCTTTTTTATAATTAGGTTTATTGGTATAATTTAGATAAGCATAATGATCACATTCATCATAGGGAATTTGTACCTGAACATGATATATCTTAGTTCCTCTCTTTTTTTTCCTCATCCCCCCTCCTTCAATCCCTAAATTAAATCTCCTTTTTAACTGATTATCTACCTCTTTGGCCTTACCACATAAAGCTATAAGCAACAAGTTGATACTTTTGACGGTTTTCCTGGAAATACCCTTTCCAAGCCCACCATTCACAAGAAATATACTCTGCTTTCTATACCACCATAAAAGTTCCTGGTGCTAAACTTTTCCACAATTACAGAACATGAATCCCCATACATTCACATTCCCTACTATTCCTGAAGCCCTCACCAGCAACTTCCTAGGAGCCACCAGGCCTCCACTAAAAGTATCTTCAAGGGCCATCTTTTGTCATTGGTTTAGTTTATGTCCCCTAGAGGTGAGGACTTTTGTCCATTTTATTCACTGTGTCATCCTTTATTGGCTAGATCTTCATCTGGCATATTGTAGACATTCTAAATATTAGTTGCAGCTGAGCATGGTGGCACTTTGCTTACAATTCCAGCATTTGGAAGGCTGAAACCAGAGGACTGGCCTCAAGTTTGAGGACAGTCTGGGCCACGTGGTGAGTTCAAGACCCACCTAAATTACATAGCAAGACCACGTCTCTTAAAACTAAATAAATAAATAAATGTATATTGAATAATACAATAGAATACAATAATTCATTGTTCATACATTAAGTGTTAAAGCTGGGAGTAGAACCAAAGCAAAATTATTGGCCATCCCAAATCCCGTCATTTAACCATACTGCCTCTTGGATTAGCAGAAACTTGACTGCTAAAATTGACAAATTCACCTCCACAAGTGACCTTCAATTTGTGGGGAGGAGGTGTGAAGAAGAGGACAGATGAATAGGTAGGGCAAAAGTCCCCACCACCAGTGGCAGCCCAAACTCCTTACCATTGTCAGAAGATCACTCTATACTTGACACCAAGTCTTTAGAGCTCTTGTGTCCTCTCTCATGATTCCTCACCTGGGTCTCCTCATTAGGCCCATAGGACTTTCCCCCACTCTCATTACAGAAAACCAAGCCTCCAGTGTCTCATTGTAATGTGGTGCTGATCATAGTGCCCAGTCCATAGATCAGCATAGTATCTTGCACATGTAATCACTCAACAAATCTTACTCAGACAATGCCAATTATTGTATGGGTGCAGAAGCTGAGGCACAAGGAGAGAAAAGCACATGCCTGATTTACATGGTGAGTAAATGACAGAGTCAAGACTAGCATGTCTAATCCCTTCTGAATCAATGCACTTTCTGCTGTCCCAATGTAGCTGCACATACAGAAGACATCAAGTCCTGGAAATGGGTTTGCTACATTCAAGTATACTTTAAAGCACAAATACGGAACTCTTTAGGATACTTTTGCAAAAGAAACATAGACCTGACTGAGGGATGTGCTCAGCCAGGCATGTGGACTCCTCAGGGGCTCCCAGTAACTCTGTCTCCATCAGTGTTTTACTAGAAAAACAGATATAACACAAGTTACACAAATGTTTAGTAAATTATAAGATCAGCTTATGATGGTCAGCCACAGAATCAGATGAGGAAGCATGCATAAGGTGTCTACACACTGGAGACTGAACGTTTCAGTCTAAGGTCTGGAGTTCACTGCAGTGCCCCCTACAGTTCTGCATCAGGAGGCCAATGGGTCCATACTGGAAGGCTGAAGAGTCTATGCTGGAAGGCTGAAGAATCTGAGGTTAAAGCCAAAGAATCTGTACTGGAAGCCAAGAGATGATGTCCAAGCTGAAAGCATAGACTAGATCTCCTCCCAAGAAAAGAATCAAGTCCATCCTTCCTCATTTCCCCTTTATACTATCCAGGTGACAAGCCACCCTATGGTGGGTCCTATACCCTAGGATATAGAATTGCTGACCCCACTTAGTTAAGCTTCTAAACTTCTCAAATTCCCAACACAATCAATCAACAGTTACAATCCACCCCTTGTTAACCCAACACATTTCTTTAAACCAGTCTCCAGATACAAAGACATGCTCCTAATTACACCTAATATGTGTAATTCCCTCTCCAGAATAGAAGGTAGTTTTATTTGGATGATGCTTACTCTTATCTTGAACATTGTAACACAGGTTTAACAATCCTTAAGGACCAGCATTAAGTCTATCAACATTATATTACATTAGAAATACATTAGGAGAGAAGTGGTACAATTGCAATTCTCTTTTCTGTAGCTGATCACAGGATTATAGCTGTTATTTGGAACTACCTTCTTCTACTACCCATCCTGTATTCCCTCGGCCTTCAGCAAGCACCTTAGTAGGTCTTGGTTCTTTCCCTGGTGGAATGACACATAGCTTCATTCCGAAGGTCTGGACCATTTGTCATTCCACCTGGATTAGGTTGTTATAGTTTTCCATTACATTTAATAACATGCCATGGTAACACTAAGAGATGCCCCTAGGGATCTCCTGCACTCTACATATGTCTTCCTGTTCTCCATTGTGGAGTAGTAGTCCAATTTCCTCTTGACAGTCTGGGGACCCCTGACAACACTGTAACCCCTTAGAGGCATGAGGAAACCAAAATGACCAGGGGGAAGTCTTGACTTTCAGTTCGGTGGTATTATTATTGTGCTTCCTGGTACAAGCTTTCCTGCCTTTGGAACTAAGACTTCTAAGCCAGCAGAACATAAGGTTGTGGGAACAGGAGCAAAAATTTTGCTAATGGGTCACTTGGGGTAATGGTAAATAGCACCATTTGTACTTCCACCCATTGAATCCTGGACTTGTGAAATCTACCTACAAGAGTCACAGTACTATACAGTAGATGCTGAAAACTACCTCCTTTTCTGGCAATGGAATTAGTGCATTTCTGTTTGCATGTATAATAGTTATGACATGTTAGATGTAATTATGAACATGTCTTCAAAGCATATACACCCTTTTGAAATATGTTACCCCAATTCCCCAAGCTATTGTCACCTATCTGGCACAGTAACTGTGTCTTCAAAATACCATTCCATCTTTCTATCAATCCAGCTGCTTCTGAATGGTGAGGAACATGGTAAGACCAGTGAATTCCATAAGCTTGAATCCACTGCCTTACTTCTCTGGCTGTGAAATGTGTTCCATGGACAGAGAAATGCCATGTGGAATTACATGACAGTGGTTAAGGCATTCTATGAGTCCACAGATGGTAATTTTGGTAGAAGCATCACATGCAGTGAAGGCAAATTTCCATACTCAGAATATGTGTCTATGCCAGCAAGGACAAAGGACAGCCCCTCCTATGACGGAAGTGGTCCAAATAATCAACCTGCTACCAGGTTGCAGTTTGATCACCTCACTTCTGGTGAATTTTATTATATTCAGAGTTTGCAGCCCATGATAATATGTCATGCAAGTCTGTGTCAGAGATCTGCACTGAGAAGGCCCAAAGGTCAGTAGTGGAAGCTACAATGTCTGCACCAGCAGGATGAAGGATCTGTGCCAGCAGGTTAAGGGATCTGCACTGCAACCAGGAGGTAACACACAAGGTAAAGACCAGAGCTCCCCCTGAAGAGCACCACAGCCATCCTTAGTGACAACAAAGAGCTGAGCTCCTCCAATAGACAGTGGTCCACTTACTGGAAATGAGCCTTGAGTTGGGAGCTGAAGGGATGGATTCTACTTCTAGGCTGCTAGAAGAAGTGAGCAGTGAGAATAGCTGAGCTCACATCAGGAAAACCAGCGGGACAAACTTCTTAGGAGAATCAACTGCACACCATTTTCCCCTCTAGTCCTCCTTTTATGCTGTTGGCAACAGTCCTCAGGTGGGCCTCCCATACCCAGAATCACGCTGATTCAGTTCATCTGGGTGGTACAAATCACTTCATCACAGTCTCCAAAGCTGTGGAATCTTTTATCAATTCTTCTAACTGTCTCTTCTTTCATTCCCGAGGTTTTAACATACTTCCTCCAAAGTCCACGCTGTGGCTTTTTCAGTTGTACTACGAAGATTGAACTACAACTCTAGTAGTTTGGTTAAAAGTAGTACTAACACAGAAGAGATGAAGACACTCACCTCTGAATTGGGAGGGTAACAGAAAGGTTTAATTTAAATAAAATCCACCCAGTGCCTTCTATGGCTAGGCATCAGACAGAGCATGATGTCTACCACATAGTAAATATTCAAGATCTTTATTGAGATACTGGCTGAGTATAATTTATGCATACTCACACTTAATATTACCCAAAGGAAAAATCACATCACACAAAAGAAACAGACAATGCAGTGGCATTTTTCACACCCAATCAGCTATCCTATAAGGCAAACAGAAGGGATGCCCCCCCTGGTCTGCAGATAGATGGGGAAACTGAGCCTCAGAGTTACATTTCTTGTTCAAAATTCCATATCTAACAACTAGCAGCCTAGAAATAGAATCCATCCCTTCAGCTCCTGACTCAAGGCTCATTTCCAATAAGTGGATCACTACCTATTGGATTGCTGCCTATTGATATAGCACTTATGAGATTCAATAACACATTCTCTCATTGAACCAGCTACCTGGGTGGCAGTCAAAAACTCAGACTCTGGAATCAGACTGAACTGGTTTCCAGTCATCACCTTGTCACTTACCAGTTGTGTGGTCTTAAGAAAATCATTGTCTTTGTCTAGACCTCTGCTTTTTATCTGTAAATGAAGAATAATAATATAAATTCCTAATGAACTTCCCATCTTTTATCTCCCCTTCCTAGGACACAGATCTCCTCTACTAGCAAGAATGTGTAGCACTTTTCTTTGGGGAACCAGGACTCCCCCATTCTCACTCTGTGTGTTTTTAGATGAAGTTAACTCCACCTCCAATTCCAGAAGTGGACACATGACTAAAGCTTAACCAATCAGAGCACTCCATGCCCAGCCTTGCTGGTTGGTTCAGAGATGAACTCAGAATCCAAACTGGAGATGCAGTTACAGTATGAACCTCTGGGAAAGACAACCTCTCTACCCAGTGAAGTTGCTGAGCAGATCACTGGCACTCCTGTAACTAATTAGATACTGAACAGTGACAGGATAAGAACCTGCTTGATGGTGAAACCAAGCCAGAAAAAAAGCATAATAGGAAGAAAAATACTTAAATGACATAATTCGGCCTTTGGAACCAGCTATGCTTAGTTTCCCCACATTTACCATTTCATGGGCCAATATGTCTTGTCCCAAGATGTTTGGCTTGAGTTTCTATTCCAAGAAGAGTCCCAAAATTTCAGTTCCTATGACTCTTGAATGTGACGCCATGAGATGATGCTTATAGAGCACTTAGCACAGAGTCTAATACCCAGCAAGGGATCAATAAATGACTTGTACTTTTATTATCCCTTGCCTGACCCACCTCATTACTCTCAAAATAATTAACAGAGCAAGCGGCAGTGAGTGGAGATGGGGCTGCTGCCTTGTCCTCCTGCACCCCTTGCTTGTTTCTCACTGCCTCTCGCACCTCTGCAGAACATTCTAATGCCAGAAGGCTTAGGAAAGATACAGATTGATGAAAACTAGTACAGAAAGGTTGTTACCTGCTCTTGTTAAGGAAACCAAAGAGGAGGTGAGAGGTAGGTAGGAAGGACGCAGCCAAAGGAGCCCAAGGGACCTCTGAGCCTGCAGACCTCAGCAGCTGGAAGGTCAGTCTTGGTATGAGCAAGCAAACAGAACTCCCAGAGCCCATGACCTCATGCCAACCTTATCATCTAAGCAGGAACCGAGCGGCCCCTCTGACCTCCCTGCTGCCTGTGCCCTTGGCTGAGTCATGCCCCACTGCTTCTGCACAGCAAAGTCTCAGCATGTTGCTGAGATCTGAGAGAGACACCATAACGAGAGATATTGTCAGCAGCGGTGTGACACAGGGACGAGGAGGCAGCAGGACTGTGTCCTGCTTTTTGGTTTCTGCTCCTCATTCCTGGTCAGGATTAGAGATCATCTCACCTTCCCAATTCTCCACTGATTTTCATTCTTTCCCTTTTTTCTGCCTCATTTTTTTCATTGCTTCTTAATCTCCTTCTATCTGGATGGCTCTAATTTTGCCTTCTGGAGAGGACTTTACTGGTACTGCAGCCAGATCTCCTGTGTACTTCTACATTCCACAAAGCTTCTGTGTGCCTTGATGCTAAAACTTTGTATCTGTCACCTCTTCCAAGCCTTGCCCTTAACACGACAGCTATGTCCCTCATCTGCAGACTCAGAGTCCCTGGGAAGACCCATTGTTGATGACTAACTAGTGGATACAGTTCCCTTATTTGGGAGGTGGGACACTCTCTGAGGTGCAATTTATATTCCAGAGCTCCCCTATGAGATCTGGCTATGCTGGAACTTTACCAGAATTTAAATCTTTTTTTGGCTTCCTCCCCTTTCTTTACCCTATTTCCCTCATCTTCTTACCAGTTTCTCCCATAAGAAGTTCTTTTTTTTTTTTTTTTGTCTTTTTCTTTTTTATTGGTACCAGGTATCAAACTCACGATCACACACTTGCAAGGCAGGTGCATATGCCACTGAGCTAAATCCCCAGCCCCCCATAAGAAGTTCTTAATTAATAACTTACTTGCATGCAAATCTTGATCTCTAATCTACTTCTAGGGCAACCCATTCTAGCAGCACCAATTCTGCTTCTGTGAACAGAACTTAGTTTTCCTTTGGAGCGAGTGCCTTCTTCTGTTCCTAGGGCCTGTGGTTTGCTTAAAGCTGGTGACTCCATCTCCCAGTTTGAGTGAGGGACATGCCACAGACTTGGCCAATCAATTTATTTGCCAGCCCATGACCTCGGTGACTGGTTTAAGGACAAGCACATGACCCAACTTGGTCTGATGGAAGTCATGTTCATGAATTGTGCTGCAGCCACAGAAGAAAAGAAGATCCTGTTTGGATTTATGAGTAACATCTGACTCTTGAGCTGTAAGAGACCATCTTGCCACCAAGGTGGGGGGGGCTTACCTGGGAGTGACGCTGATATGAAAGAAGGCAGAGCTGAGAGGACTACAGAGAGGGATCAAGTGGAAACAACATATAAGCACCTGGATTCTTTTGTACCTGACCTTCAACTCTGACCCAGAGATTAATCCATTGCTTGGCTTTCAAATATTTTTGCACCGCATACATTCCCACCTCACATTGATCCTAAAAAAAAATACATGCTATTATTATCCCCCATTCCAAGCCCAATGGGGCTCAGAGAGATGAGGTCACTTGTTCCAGGTCACACAAAGGACTTTTGCTTAACTCACAGCCCTCGAGAAAGGAGACTCAGAGCAGGACTGTCCTTTCATCCCACTCATTCATGCACATGGTATCTAGCACAGAGGTGAGAGCAACAAATGCTTGCTGGACCCAGGAATGATGCTTTTATGAATAAGTGGGTGAATGAATGAATGAGTGGTGAGGTTGGAAAGGAAAGCAAACAAGTGGTTCCCTACTTCCAGGATTTTTAGAAAATGAGAGACGGGCATGCCTGATGACAGATAATCCTTTCAGTCTACAGTTTCCTCAGATAAAGCTCTAAGCACAGAGACAGGGAGCTGGCCTGCTCTGGGAACCAAGAAAATTAAGATCTGTTCCTTTAATTCTAGAATGTCCCACTTAATGATACAATGGAAAAATCAGAGGCCTTGAAAATAAATCTAGTTCAAAACCCACAGTTCATCAATTGTAAGCTTCATAACCTTGAATTAGTGACTTGGCTTCTCTGAGCCTTTTTTCTCCTCCAAAAAAAGGACAATTCATGAATGCATCTTCTAGGACTGCGAAGAGAAGATGCACATGGTGAGCAGCTCCCTTTAGCATATCTCCTATGACTCAGTTTGTCTTACATTTAAAACAGCGATCACAAGAACCCTTTTGGTTTAAAGAGAACTGAATAGTTCCAGAGCCCTTTCATAGAATAGCCACCAGCCAGCTGCCTCCCTGGGGTGCTGGGAGCTTAAATGGGACATTGCATATGAAATGCTTTGAGAGCCTTGGAAGAAAAGGGCCCAGAGAATCCAGAGTGTTATTATTAGACATGGAAAGGAGCACGCCAGAGTGCGGAGCCCACACACGCCGCTCATATAATCAAACTGACATTGAGGTTTACAGTGCATCGAACACTGCGTTCCAGTCCACGGAGCTAAAAATGGAAGCCTGGGGAAACAGCAGCTGGGTTAAAAGCTGAGCAGATGCAATTTGCTGAGTGGACTCCCGAGGGCTGGAGAGCAGAAAAGCCAGCCTCTGCCACCCAAATGGAGGCAGCAGTGAGCTTGGGGCAGGTGGGGACATGCGCTCCACCTGCCACAGACCAGCCTTATAGACTCTGGGAAGCAGCCAGCCAGGATGGCAGCCTCACCTTGAGTAAATAACTTCCCTCCTTTAGGCCTCAGTTCCCCATCTGTAAAGTGGATCTATTACAAAGTTTATGTATAGAAAGCTTATGAGAACTAAACTAATTAATACTAAGCGTTCCTTATCCAAAGTGCTTGAGAGAATAGAGGTGTTTCAGATTTGGGATGCTTTTGCATTTTGGAACATTTGCCCATACATAATGCAGTACCTTTGGGGATAGGCCTAGAGTATGAACATACACTTTCATCCGTATGTCCTGAAGGCAATATCATTGATCCGTTTTAGTGTGCCTGCATTTTGACAGCCACTTTATCCTGTGAAGCTGATCAGGCATGGAATTTTCCACCTGTAGTCTCATAAAGACACTCAAAACTTTTTGGATTTTTCACTGCTGGATTGGGGATGCTCGATTTTACTGGAAACGTACTTGGCAGAGGGCCTGTAGCAAGGCACTATGGTGAGCTTGCAGTACCTGCCAATGCAGGTTGCAGGCCCTGTTTCTCACTGAACTGCATCCCCAACCCTTTTTATATATTTTTTATTCTGAGATGGGTTTTCACTGAGTTACTACGTTACTCAAGCTGAGCTTAAGCTTGCAATCCTTCTGCCTCAGCCTCCCAGAGTGCTGAGATTACAGGTGAGTGCCACCAGCACATTTTTTAAAATATGTCTTTATACATCCTAAAATCAGCTCATGCCCCATGAGAATCCCTGCATTGATGTCTCAAACTTGAATATATTCCTGCACTTCTCCAGGACAGGCAGGCCCCTATCCATCTCTTGGTCCCTCCTATAAAGCTAAAAAAAAAAAAAAAAAATTAATCTGTGTTGAATTGGGAAACCAGGCTAACCTACCCATGGCTCGCATTTCTCGCCCTACATCAACCTCTAGAACATTGGTTATGCTGAAAGAATTGTTTGTACAAGCCTGCTTACATTCCCTCATGGTTCTGTACTTCAGATGACATTCTCCCAGAATGATCCACCCTCCCCAGAGGGCAGAGGCTGTTTAGGAGTCTGATGGTGCTTTTATATATGTCCCTGGATGGAGCTGGGGACCCGAGGAGAGGAGTTCTAAATGAACAGCACCTGCTTAGCTGCTGGGATCATCTTAGCCTTTCCAATCCAGAGCCAGCTCAGACCTTGGAGACAAGGAGTCCACAATGACATGCGGCTGCAGAAGAAGTCTGGATGCCCATATTCTGCAGAGCATGTCAAAGCTGATGAACCTCAAGCTGCTTGTTATGGCTTGTGTCTAAATGTTCCCCCAACACCTCATGCAATCACTGATAGGGTTGTTTTCAGATATGGCTGAATCTAGAGTGTGCAACTGATTCATGGTGCAATGCTGGGATTAAAGGTGGGTGATTACTAAATCAGTCCACTCATTGGTTCAGCACCAGCCTAATTCCAGTAACCTGGATACAATATAAGGAACAGAAAGATGTTCATTTTCTCTCTCCCTGATTGCTTTGTTACAGCCTCCCCATCATGAACTGCTCTGCCCTGCAATGCCATCCTGCCTTGGATTATGAGCTGAAACGTCTACAAACTGTAAGCTAAATAATTCTTTCCTTCCTAAACTTTGGGTGTCAGGTATTTTGTCTCAGCAACAAGAAAAGTAACTAAGACATTGCTTCAAGGGGACATTTCCATTCTCCCACCCAGCTTCACAGAAACCACGTGATGGTCAGATAATCAGATGATCTAGTTTCCCATCTAGGACAGAGGCCACAGACCATGGGAAACTCATTAACCACCCTGAACCTCCCCCCAAAAAATCTCTCCTAGTTTTGCAGGTTTCCCTGAGAGAAAATGAAATCATGATTATGGAAATATTTTGTGACCATCCTTCACTAACTATGCAACCAATATTCTCTGTGCCTCAGTTTCTTCACTGCTGCAACATTGGTTAAGCAGTACAACTTCCCTCAGAAGTTTGCTATGGAATAGGGTTAGTAAAAACATGCAGATTTGCTGTGGAATAACTGAATAGTATCTATAAAAATGCACAGGTTTAGGAAAGGATTCGGTAAGGTGACCAACAGTGCTGGTTTGCCTACCTCTGACCTCACAGCGTCCTTGGGGTGGGAAATCACTAAGATCAGGAATCACTAAGATCAGGATGAGTCACCATTCCAGGATTCTATGTCTTGACTCAGTGTTTAGCACCTGGTGGGGTCCACCAGGCATTAATTAGCTCAGTGAGTAAGGCCCCCCATCTCACACAATAAACTCAGAATCTAGAAACTGCTCAGATTCAGTACCACCCTGGTGGGGGGGAGAAACCTTTGTATTGTGTTCTCAATCACACCTGCAAACTGGAATCACCCAGGTGCTTTTAAAAACTCTCCTTGTAAGGTTCCCAGCCCAGAGTAATGGAGTCAGAAACTGTGACATGGGATCTAGCATCATTTCTTCTTGTTTCATTTTGTTTTGTGTTCGTAGTGCTGAGGATCAAACTCATGGACTCGCATGTGCAAGGCAAGGCTGTACCACTGAGCTACACCCCCAGGTCCTGGCATCATTGTTTTAACAATTCCCCACATGCAGCTCATGGTGAAGACCCCCCCAAAACTGTGCTATCCATAAAGCAAAGCAGGCTCCCACTTGGGAAAAGAGTCTTTTCACAAATACTAGGTGACTTTCAGAGGCCCATCACTTATCCGGCTTCATTCCCAGGATTAAAAGAGGGAATGCAGCACTGAACAAGAATCTCAATAAGTGAGAGGCATATTATTGTTCATTGGATGCTCCTAAAATGGCATTAAGAGCTCAGGCTCTGGTACCTTCTCAGAGTAAGAAATGGAGTGTGTGGACTTGAGCAGCAGCTCGCCCTTCTTTGCCTCAGTGCCCTCATCTGTAGAATGAAGATGTTAATGCCTGCCTGTCTGGGTTGGGGGTTGGAGGGGTATTTTCAGGTGAGTTCCCAGGGAGAAGGAACCACACAGAGCTGCCATCAGCGTCTTTACTGCTTGGCCTGTATATAGTGGCCATTATTGAGCTTTACAGTCCTATGTGCTGTCAAAACCAGGTAGCACCAGCATAGCTGTCTACGCTATGGCCTGCTTACGCAAATGTGTGCTGCTGCGCACCTGTGCTGGACAGTGGGGTTGTGTCCCTACAGCCCCCACACTGTCCCATAGGGGTGTTATGAGGATGAATGGGGAAAATATATTCGTAGCAAGTGAAAGCGGAATAACTGAGGTGGTGCTGAGTAGTAATGTCCCATTATTGAGCCGATTTTGCAGATGAAAAAATGAAACTTAGGCACTTTGTTCAGGTGCACCCAGCTCCTAAGGGTTGGGCCAGGAGCTGTCACGTGGTTCTGTCACAGTATTCTGTACACAGCTACTGGCTGTACACCCTGCCTGTGCCCAAGTCTGCCCTGCATCTCCCCACATTCTCAGAATTTCCATCTCTGATTCCTGCAGCCATGGGCAGCCACGCAATACTAATCCCCAAAACGAGTACAAAGTCAAACACACAAACAAAAGTAAGATCCTTGCCCCTAGATGAGTTTTCTGGGTGTATCTCATGCCACCTTCCCCTTCTTTTCATGGGCCCCTAATGGCAGACCAAAGACTTCATGGGTATCGTTACTCCTGTAATACCCACAGCAAACTAGGAGACAGGTCTTATCTCTATTTTACTTTTGAGGAAACTGAGACTCAGAGAGAATTCAGAAATTTGCCCAAGGATCAGGGTATAGTAGTATGCAGCTGTCATCCCAGAACTCAGGAAGGCTGAGGCAGGGAAGTTGCAAGTTCAAGACCAGCCTGGGAAACTTAGCTATTTAGCAAGCTGCTGTCTCAAAATCTTTTCATAAAAAAAATTTTTTTTAAGGAGTGGGGATGTGGCTCAGTGTGAAAGCCTTTGGCTCACCCCTGTGGTGGTCAGCTTATAACACTAGCTGAACTGAATCAGTGTGGTGCTGAGTTTGGATGGCTCACCTGAGAATGGGTGCCAAGATAAAAAAAGAGACCTTCAGAGGAAGAGGTAGTGTTGTTGGTTCTCCTGGTTGGTGTTGGTTCTCATATTGCCACTGGTTCTCTTAGAGGAGTTTGTCAAGTTTCTTTCCTGATATGAACTTGGTTGTTCTCATCATCAGAGGAGCTCAGCACCTTGTTGCTGAGAATGGCTATGATTCACTTTGGGGGAGCACTGGTCCTTATTTGAGCATTGCTTCCTGGCTCCAGTGTAGAATCCTCAACCTACTGGCACAGATGCTTCATCGCACTGGCATAGACTTTCTAGCTTCCACTGCTGATCTTTAGACCTTCCAGTGCAGATCTGTGAAACAGATTTGTATGAGACATTGTCGTGGTTTTTGGTCTTCAGCTGGAATCATGCAAGACAGGACATTGCCATGGGATCCAGGCCCTCAGCTGAACTTTTTGGAATTTTTAATGTGTGGACAGATTTCCTACATTTCTTGTATACTCCATGGGTGACTGCTATAAAATAATTCTATAAATTATGTGTCCTGTATTAAATTGTTTTCCTTGCAAACACTGACTACAACTCCCCCACACAAAACATCGGCATGTATGCACATGTGTGCACACATACATAGGCATGAAGCATGTCCAAGGAATCTAGGATATCTGGCTGCACAGCTATGCTCTGAGTCTTCTGCCTCCAGTGGCTAACAGTCAGCTCTCAGTGGAGAGGGAGATTTCAGGAAGCGCATCAAGAGATTCAGCGTTCTCTGAATTGTTCCTTGTTTCAGTTTTTTGGTTTTTGCCTATTTTATTTTACTTTGCTCTTCTTCTCCCAGCCCAAAACCCACAGTAAAGGTCAGAAGTGATTTTTGACATAATATAAAAAGCATTCCAACCTTAAAATCATGTAGGAATTACTAAGAGTGTTTAGCTTCAGGGAGATGGTGGCAGACAAGAGCAGAAAAACTCTAAAGAGCCAGCTTAAAACCTCTAGATGTCCTAACTCTGAGAAGATTATACAAATCAATATAAAAAATTGATTCAGAAAATAAGCATCAGGAATGCCAACAACATCTAAGATGAATACACAGTTCTCAGATGAAAAAAATACAAATGGAAAATAAATACATGAAAAAATGTTCATCATCATTACTCATTAGAGAAATGCAAATTAAAGCCACACTGAGATTCCATCTCATTCCAGAAACAATGGCCAGAAACAAGAAAACTACCAACAACAAATGCTGGAGAGGCTGTGGGGGGAAAAGGAATTCTCCTGCACTGTTGGTGGGAGTGTAGACTGGTGCAACCACTGTGGAGGTCAATCTGGAGATTCCTCAAAATCCTGGGATTGGAAATCCCATTTGATCCAGCTATTCCACTTTTAGGCATATTCCCAGAAAAACTGAAAACATCCTACCACAGTGATATATGTGCACCCATGTTTATAGCAGCACAATTTGTAATAGCCAGATCTTGGAAACAACCTAAGTGTCCATCAACTGAGGAATGGATAAAAATGATGTGGTATTTTTATACAATGGAGTACTACTCAGCTATAAAGAAGGATCACATTAAGATATTTATAAATAAATGGATGCAACTTGAGACCATACTCCTAAGTGAAATAAATCAAACTCACGTGTATAAGTACCATATAGTCTCCCTAAGTGTAAGAAATGGTAAGAGTACATAAGATTTTATAGTAATCATGATTCCCCATTACATTGCTTTGAAGCCTTATAATGTTTTCATTCATTAGTTGAGATGGTTTTATCCTGGTTTGTTTTATTTTATTATCTGTGATGGTATGAACATCTATTTTGAAGAAAACAAGACAGTATGACAGTCATTGCTGATTTAATATAATCTTGTTTTGAAGTCCTACCATACTTTTGTTCTTCTGTTTCCATTGGTTCTATCATGTTGTATCTTATTGGATTTTAATATGTGTAATAGTATAAACAATTTTTTATGGAAAATGAGATAATATAGTAGCCATTGTATGTTTTCTGATATTTGGTTCTGTATACCCTGTAATACTTTCATTCTCTTGAATGGTTTTTTAGTATTTTGATATGTTTGATACTATTATATGTGAAGGTATGCTCAACTATTTCAAAGAAAGAGACTGTGGTAGCTACTGTTAATATTGGGTTGTCTTGTGGTAAAGTACTGTGTTGCTTACATTGTTCTGTTCTGATCGGCTTTGTTCTGGCCTCTTTTGTCTTAATCTTTTTAAAATAAAAACATTTTTAAAAAAGGAATGCCAACAAATACTTTCTGTGAAATATTACATTGGAGATTGACTATTTCTTCTTATTTGACTTTACATAGGAATATGTATTACTGTTGTAGACAAGATTATTTTAAAATTAAAAATTATTTCAAACAGGTTAAGAAGTATTTATGGTAGAGGAATACTCATGTCATGTTCAGTGAAAAATGACATAAACAACATCACTATGTAACCTTTTTCTTTTTTACATTTGCTTTCATGTATGCCAAAACATTAAAGGTAGCTGATAGGGGTGGTATTATGGATGACTTTTATTTTCTCCTCTTTGCTTTCCCATTTTTTATAACATTTTCCACAACGTACATGGATTAGCTATGCAATAAAATAAATACATGAAAATGTCCTTCCACAGGAAGTGATCTTTGCTGAAAGCTGAGCTTCATGGCTACAAAGATAAGGTAGACAAAAAATAGAGACCAGCGGGGTCCAGCTTTGAGGACAATGTTGGAGACCTAAATTCAAATATCCTTGATTCTAGGTGTTATGGTTTGGGTGTGTTTCCCAGAATTTGCATGTTGGAAATATAATCCCCCAAGTCATATTTCCATGGAGTTAAAGAGTCTTTGGGCAGTCACTAAGGCTAAATAAATTCATGAGGGTGGGTCCCCCACTATAGTATTAGTGGCTTTATAAAAAGAGGAAGAGAGATCCCAGATAGCATTTATGCATCTCCTTTCCATATCAGGGTTAGCAGTCACAAAGGAGGACAAAGAAATGCCAAGTAGATGCCTGTACCATGCTCTTGCTGTTCCCAAGTTCCGTAACTGTGCTCCACATAAACTTCTGTTCCTTATAAATTACCAAGTCTTAGAAAACAGCCTGTGAGCAGAGAGTCTGTCTCTGGAATCTGGAAAAATGAAAAAGATGGTGAGTTTGATGTGATCTCAGACATAGCCATACCAGTGGAGGAAGTAATTCTGCAAATCCAGGAAAAGGGTAGCACTAGAAAGGAAAATTTGGGAACTTCTTGCTTCAAAGCAATCAGTGAAGCTTAACAGAGAGAAAAAATCCTCAGGGAAAAACTGCCCCATATTTCTCAATGTTGGTTGCACTTTAGAGTCAACTTGAAAGATTTTAAAAACCACTAGTGCCCTGGTCCCACCCTAAACCAATTAAGTCAGAATCTCTGCACATGAGACTTGGGCATCACTATATTTTAATTAATAGACTTAATCTCTATGAGCAGTTTCAGAGTCACAGCAAGATACAGTGGAAAAGCAGAGAGTTATCATATGCCTCCCTCCACATACACACCATCTCCCCCATGGTCAACATCCTGCACCAAAGAGGTAAATATACTACAGGTAATGAATGAGCATGGGCCCATCATTATCACCCAAAGCCTTCTCCCAGTGTCACAGATTCCATGGTTTTGATAAATGCAAACTAACAGGTACCCAAAATTGTAATATCATAATGGAGTAATACTCCCGTCCAAAAAATCTGTGGGTACTAGTGTTTCTTACTGTCTCAGGGGAATCTAAGGTACAGCCAAGTTGAGACCCACCACTCTAGCCAGCAAGAAGAGAGTTATTTATAAGTACTAAACCTTGAACAGCACTTACCACTGGAAGAGAGATGACATGAGATTTGAAATAGAAAGATGAATAAATAAAGGCCCTCCGTAGAATAATAGTGTTATGAAAATGGTAATTGTGACATATTTGAGATAAAGATGTCACCTGAAGACATTCAGGTGTGATAACCACAATCTTTAAGCAGAAGTCCAGGTCATCTGTTGGGAACTGGGAAGAAAAAGTGGATAGAAGATAAGATTTACCAGCTTCAAGAAAGTAGGAAAAGCAGGAAGAACTGAAGAACTCTTGGGAGGACTCTAATAACTCTTGGAACAAAGTCTGGGGCAGGGGAGGTACTGAGTATAATAAACATTAGTTATTTGGTTGAGTAGTTAGTTTATCAGTCACTTTTAAGAGAAAAAAGATGTAACTTTTTAAATTAGATGTTTTCAGTAAAAGCTAGAGAGAGATGAGTACAGATTAGGTATCCTCTTAGGGGATCTTATCACATAGAAGACTAATTTCCTCATTATTTCTGTTGCCGACTCTTTCTTTCTTAAAGAAACCAGAGCCTCTGCCACATGACCCATCTCTGATTTTGACTTCATTTGTGGTGATACTGCCCATAGCCTCTGGCAACATCTCACATCAAATGTCCCCTTGACTTTGGTTTTCTGTTTCCAAGATTTCCTTAAAGCTCTAGGAAGATGCAACTTCCTGTGAAGAGGATTTCAGTTCCCCAAGGGCCATGCTCCACCAATGGGATATACAAGTCAGTAAAGACACAGCTCCTCTCCTGCACTTTGGGAGACACTTCTGAACTTCTGCAAAGGGGTGCGCACAGTGTAGACCTGCTCAACAATGCATCCTTTGTTAATTCTTTGTCCTTGGGACCATTGTTCTTGTTTTTTCAGGTTTGTTTGCATCTTGATTTTTCTGTTTTTTCTTTTGTCTCTTTAAAATAAGAAATGTACAACAGATACTGTGAACTGGGATAAACTGTTAAAAAGAGATAAACTATGATAGAGGAAAGGAAGAATAGGTAAAAGGAAAAAATATGTATGTACGAGATGGTTAAGGTAATTTATACAGGTAGCTTCCATTTGTTCCTTGAAAAGGATGATTTGTGCCAATATTGTTTAGACAAGATATCCTACCTATCTGCTATACCCTGAATAACTACTACAAGATACCAATATGCTGTGTATCAAGTATTGTAACTGTCCTGCTACCCTGTTTTGAAACTCGTTTTCATTGTTTGTTTCTCTGTTTTTCTCTCTAAAATAAAAATGAGAGAGAGAGAGAGAGAGAGAGAGAGAGAGAGAGATGCCTAGCAGATTAGAAAAGCGTGCTCCTGGCTGTGTCTGGGTGGGCCTGGAGGTGCAGCCTTGGATATCACAAACAGTCCCTCGTCCATTCTTCTCTGGCACTGCTCTTCTGCTCTGCTTCCCAGCATTATGAACCGAGTAGCTTTGCTCCATCTTGCACTTAACACCACAATGTTCCTGTCTTAGAATCAACCAACCAGGCTGAATCTCCTCAGACAGTGAGTCAAATTACACCTCACCTCCTTTAATGCATGGTGTCAGGTATTGTGTCCCTGAGACAGGAAAGCTAACATATTCCCTGTCCCCTTGTCCCCATTCTCTAGTCTTGCTTTCTGAGATCAGCTGCTGAATACCTACACTCATATACTTCTCTCAGGCTTTGGCTTAGAAAGAATCAAGACCCTCACTGTTCCATATATAAGGGCCAAGTGGATCGTGTTAGACTCCATAATACACCACCGAGGTCCTCCCCTAGGACTGACCCTCTTATTCCTCAACTGCTGTGCTTACTGGCCTTGCCGTTCATTCCCCTACAGGGGTTGTGTGGCCTGAAGAAGGTTATTTTATTCCAGGTTACTTCCCAGGCTTCCCTCACCCAGGACTTATTGGCATGGACCTCTCACTCCCAGACTGGGCCCATCCTAAAAGCTCATCCACTCTCTGGACCCCTGGAGGACTGCCTGAGGCACTCATGGAGATTGCATTACCGGTCTATGTCCCTTTTTGCCCAGTCCTGCTTTGATCTTTTCACCACAAATATGGATTCAAGTGGTTTCCTAATACACCTGCGATATGCTAGTCTCTGCTTCAGTCTTCTTCAGAGGACTTTCTCTGGAACATAGCCAAGGGCATTCTGTGTCTAGACAATGCCTGGTTAAGATACACTCAGTAAAGGAAACCACATTCTTTACAATAGCATCCAAAAAAATGAAATACTCAGGAATCTACCTAACAAAGGAAGTAAAAGATCTATGCATTGAAAATTACAGTACTCTGGGGTAAAAAGATCAAAGAGAATATCAGAAAATGGAAAGAAATCCCCTGCTCATGGATAAGATAGTCATACAGCTAGTTTCTCTTCATTCATTGAAAACAAAGATTTGAGTTAATATTGTCTGGACATTATTTAATGCCTATATCTTGTTCTTATTTAAGCAACTACTATGAACATAACAATGCACAATGTGTTAATTATTGTTACTCTCCTACTAGCCTGATTTGAAGCTGTTTATTTAGTTTCTATTTGTCTTATTTTCTTCAAAATATATAAATACTTAATGTATGTTGTTTAATCAATTAATTGATTAATTGACTGGGGTGGGGAAGCTCTTTATAGAAACTCCACTTGTCTCAGCTGAGATATCAAGCCAAGGGAAGACTTTTCCATGCTCATAAGTATCTTTCTACTCTTTTGAAATCTGGGCACATCACCACTAAAGCCTTGCTGCTAGATAAAACTCTCCAAAGGCCTGAAGATGAGTTTAAAATGTCAAAGCTACTTCTCGTGGTCTTTCCTCCCAGCAACAAACTCAAGGCTACAAAAGCCAAACCCAACCTAGTCCATGAACACCTCATGACAGCAGCAATCAAATGTGTCGGATTTGACCTCTTGCTCATGATTTAGATGGTGTTTAGAAGAGAGTCCAAGTGGGTGTCCAGGAGATAAAAGGCAATAGCAAAACATACCTGGGGTTAAAGCAGTGGTGAGCGGTAAATAAACCATCTTCCTTTGACCTAGGTCTCTCAATATATGATTAATTGTCCCGGGCTGGGAAATGACTATGTTCTGGTTCCTGCCTGTGGGGGAGGATTTGGCTCCTCTTGCCCTCTGGCCCAGAAGCAGAAGTCTGGCAGACTAATGATGGGATTCAGCAGCCTGACCTTTGTAGCGACGTCTGCTTGGGAGAAGGCCACAGCAGGTCAGTGTGGTGGGAACAGCGGCCAACAGCTATGTCCAAACTCGGGAGAATTTCCTGGCTGTGGGTAATGAAGACACAGTGGTGAGTGTCTTATTTTAGAAAGCTTCCTTGTATATAACCATCAGATTTTCTAAATGAGCAGACCTTTGACCAGAAATTCTTTTTCTAAAAATGTATCCAAATGATAAATTAACTGCAACAATGCTCATCAAAGCACTTTTAAAATAAGAGCAAAAGACTGGAAACAACCTAAGTGCCCTCCTGAAGGGGATTTGCTATATAAATTATAGTCTAACATACCAGGAAATAGGGTCATTTAAAAGATTCTATAATACGCAATTGTATTTATTGGCAAATATGACACATCCCTGACATTAAATAAAAAAGCAACTATGTGCAGCTTGTTTCCATAGAAAGAAAGGAAGGTAAGAAAAAGAGAAAAAAGAGGGACAGAGGTCCTGCCGGCAGGCCCAGGCCGTGGAGAAGAAGCAAGGAATCGGTGCGGCCTCCCTGTGTGCTGGCGGAGGCCCTGCTGGTGGGGAGAGCCAGGGATGCCGCCTCCACCCCCCCCCACCCCCCAGGAGCAGCCTGATGTGACACAGGCTGAGATGATAATAACTGAAGTAAGCAACCTGACGTTTATGTTGTTTGACTGACTTTGTAAACACGGGGCCAGTAGTCTGAGCAACTACTTAGAGGATAACGACATGCAATATAGTAAGGATTATGGATTTCCTACTGTCCTATCACTGTTTTGTTTTTGTTTCATTTTGTTATTCTTTTTTACTCCCTTTAAAATAAAAATTTTAAAGAGGAAGAGGGAAATGGAGAATGACAAGGAAAGAAGTCATCCAGACCTGGAATCTCCAATTGCCCTGATGAAAAGAGATGGAGTCCTCTTGGAGCCCCACAAAGGAGACGCTGATCTCAGGGGCATTTCTTCAAGGGCCCATGTTTGAAAAGAGGTCAGCAGGATCAAAAGGAACAAAGGATCAAGCATGGTGTAGTAACATTAGAAGGAAGCTCTCATGCTTTCTAGCCTAGGAATAGTCACCAGCAGCTTCCTAAACTAGACCCATTCCCCAGCAGCTAAGGAAGCCGTCTGAGGGATCACTAAGATCCACTCCAAGTTTGACAATTCTGCTAAAGAATGCTTTTAAGACTTTCTTTAGTGGGTCCTAGATCTCCGATATGCCTCTTCCCAGTCCTCCATAGGCTTCACTGATGTTCTCTAGTTCTCTTAAAGCTCAAAGTAGTGAATGACCACATCCCTGGTCTGAGGACAAGCCTCTGATCGGGAGAACAGGTTAAAGCTGATTAGCTCATGCTACCTTCCATCAGCTGACTAGATTACGGCTGGACACATGACTCAAAAAAAATCAAATCTCTCTCTCTCTCTCTCTCTTTCTCTCTGATCTCCTCTCTTCTCTCTCTCTCTCTCTCTCTCTCTCTCTCTCTCTCTCTCTCTCTCCTCTCTCTCTCTCTCTCTCTCTTTCTTATTCTACATGAAGCATCAGGATACACAGAGCAAGGCTGAAAGCTATGTTGAATCATCAATAGAACAGACAATGCCACTCAAGAAAACCATGGGCCTGGGCATGTAATCCTAGTAATCTGAGAGGCCGAGGCAGGAAGATTACAAATTAGAACTCAGTCTGGACAATTTAGCTCCTTAACGAAACCCTTTTTTCAAAGTTAAAAAACATTGTAAAGGGCTACAGATGCAGCTCAGTGTGAAACCCCTGGGGTCGATCCCCAATACCAGAGGGTAGGGGAAAAGATTACAGAGAAGAGAAAACATGTGCACGCTTGGAAACAGGAAGATCTGCCACATATATTCTGTCAAGAATATTAAAGGGACTATTATTTAACACTCCCTTGAAAAATTATGATGGTTATAATCATTCTCATTTAACAATGGTGGAAACTGAGGCTCAGAGAAATCAAGCCAAGTTAACTGTGGATTTCTGATTGGAGGGACGTAGAGGATGACCTGTTAGCAGTAGGATATTTGGCGACATTTCTGGCCCAGTGGCAGTCTTCTCTGCTCCACTCACCCTAATTGTGACAACCAAAAAATGTCTTCAGACATTACCAAATGTCCCTGTGACCAGACTTGTAGTGTGGGATAGATTTTGATCTTACAGGAAAGCATGGATCAAGACCACTGGGTTAGCTATCACCTGGGGTTACACAGCTGGCAATGGCGGGGCTAGGATTCCAATTTCATCTCCACATGCTGGAGACAAACCTTTTCACTGCTACACCATCTGCTTCTTATATAAAGTTATTTTAATGATACTGGGAAATATCCATGATATAAGATTAAGTGAAAAAAAATCAGACAAAATTGAGTGATGTCATCATGAAACAAGTCACAAAAAAGAGACACTCTAAAACACTATTAATTTGGTCTCACTGGTAGAATTTTTAGTAACTGCCCTTTTTGGTTATTTCCTGTATTTTCCAACATTTCTAAAATGACCATCTATGATTTTATAATTAATGAATATTAAAAATGATACTAAGTCCTACTTACCAAAACAAATTAGCAAAGCACATTAGAAAAGGGCATAGTGACTTTTGGTTTCAATGTGTTTCAATTATATCTGTTTGCTCAACTGCTGATTTGCTAAACCCCATGAATATTCACACAGCAGGACCCCACACTCGCATGAGCCAGAACTGTTTGCTGCATTTCCTAATAAGCCCGGTTTTGGGCTCCAGCTAGGAGCAATCGCTCCATTCCCTCAGTCTCCTTTCAAATGGAGAATTGTGCACATCGAACAGGCAATTTAATTGTCCCAGAAGAAATTTGAGGAGCAATGGGGAAGTTTATTCCTCTTCATTTTCAGAGCAGAAAATTATACTTCCAAAGAACATGCTGCCCAGATAAAATTAAACATGATGCAAAACTCTGCTCTCCTACACGTACCAATACACCAGTAAAGACACGGACATCCCACCACACCAAAGGTGAGTTTGCAGAGTCACTTTGCAAAAGGAGTCACTTGTGAACTTAAGGTCAGGATGTCTTCCCAGCCCTCTCTGCCTTGGTCTCTCCTAAAGGCAAAGGCGCTAACGGATGGTTTTAGAATCATGCACACTTGGGCTTTCTTTCCTCCACACACTTCGTACCTGTGTGACCTTGGGCTGGTGATATAACCTTCAGAGACTAGTTCCCTAATTTTTACTAAGTGAACTTGACAGTCTCTACCCACAGGGCTGTCTGCAGTGTCAAATGAGATAAAGGAAATAGAGTAACACATAGAAACTAAGACATGGTGTCCCTCAGTGAGGAGGGGCTACCACTGATGGTCTAGTCATTAGGTGGGGATATAAGCAGCTTGTAGATTCAACAGTGTCATGTAGCTTCTTGTCCTGGAGGACTATCTGAGTTTCCTCTTGCTGTTTAACAATTATCACAAACTCCGTTGTTAAAAAAAAAAAAAAAAAAAAAAAACCCTCTAATTTGGGCCTTGGGTGTAACTCAGTGACAGAGCACTTGCCTAGCATGTGAGAGGCCCTGGATTCAATCCCCACTGCTGAAAAAATAAACCCTCCAGTTTATAATCTTATAGTTCTATATTTCTGGAGGTCATGCATCTAAAATGATTCTTACAGAGTTAAAATCAAAATATCAGTAGAGCTATATTCCTTTTGGGAGTGCTGGGGAGAATCTGTTTTCTGGCCCTAACTTCTAGAGATTCCCCACATTCCTTCTCTAGTGACCACTTTCTCCATCTCTCCATCTCCACAGCCAGCAGAGTATAGTCTCTCTGGCTTTCCCTGTCACCCTCCTCCACCCACACACCTTCTCTGTTTCTGTCCTAACCTCTTTCTCAGATTCACCTGCCCCTCTCATAATCCAGTACAATCCTCAGGGTCCAAGATCCTTAACTTTACCTTACCTTCCAAGTCCCTTTTTCCACGTAAGGTGATATATTCACAAGTTGTAAGGGTGAAAATATGGTCCTCTTGTGAACGAGGCATCATTCAACCTGCCACAAGGATAAGAAAGGAGCCCATTTTTAACATCCAATAACCATAGCCAGTAATGATACAGGTAACACCCGGCATACTTGAGGCCTTGAAGTCATTTTAGCTGGCTCAGTAGTTTACTGAGAATTTACCAGGCAGCCCCTAGGAATTATCAAAGGGATGGTGACACTTGGGAATTCTCCCAGTGCGACTAACCATCTTTATATTTCCATATTGAATTCCATTTCTTTAAAAAAAATTCCATTACATTAAAACATTTTCAAAAAAGCTCTAATCAGTTAATGCACGCATTTTAATAATAAACTGGGGTCCAGTTTCACCAATGAAACAAAAGGTCAACCCCAAAGCAAGCATCATTCTCCTACACACAGTGGCCACAGAGTCCCTAAGTAAGGCTGATCAGACACTGGGCAATCACTCTAAAAGGAGCAGCACGTGTTAGCCAAGGGAATCAAATGCAGGTGCACACACGAGTTCAGGTCCTGCCCACGAACTTGCTGGGCAGGTGTTCCTAAACCTGTTGGGAGGTCAGATTAAATGAGATGAAGTACAGAAAGTTCTCAGCACAGCACATGCTTGGCCGCAGAGGCTGCATCACTAATTGGAATTATTGAGTATTTCTTATCTCTCAGGCTGCATTGTAACTTCCTTGAAAGTAAAGCCTGATGTGAGCCATCTTTGTGATAGGAGGTGCCTCATTCACTTTTTTTACCTGGCCAATTTCTGTGCAATTGCCATGTCTCTCCTGAAATAACCCTTCCCAAGGGAAGCCATCCCAGACTACCTAGAAGGCTCTAGGTCTCCTGTTTTGAATCTCATAGGATCCTAGGTTTTCTTTCCAGTCAACATCCTAATTACTAAATAATTATTTATGTGATAATTTGTTTGATCCTTGACTTCTATAATACATACTACAATGCAAGCTCTCCAAGCACAGCAGTTAATTGGGGCCATGTCACTAATTCTGTCTCATGGGCTCAAATGTATCACTTCTGGCTGAAGCATCAAAAAGTTGGCATGGTAACTCCCTAGTTACCAATTCCCTATGGCAGTGTTAGACAATGTTGGGGCAGCCTGGGCCTCTAAGCGACCATGCAGAGGAGTACCCTCTGTTGATCAACTTTGGATATGTAGCACGAATGAGGAATAAAAAAGCAAAAATTTGGTCACGCTTCTGGGATTTCAAAGTTAATGTGTTATTATAGCACAACCTAGTGTATCTTGACCATATATCACTACCTTTCCAGTACCCAAAAGTGTTGATCACACAGTATGCTCCATAAATATTTGTTAAATGAATGAATGAACCAGCTTCTAAAAATCACAGGTAGAAGCTAGATATGTGGTATTTCCTAAGACAGTATAAAATAGATCATAACTACCAAACAAATAAAAAACAAAAACAAAACTCAACTAGGCCATTAGTTAGCTCCAAAAGAGAAAGACCAGAATTCCTGTCACTCAGTTCTGAAGCTAGTAGTTCTAGCTTTTTGACCTTGAAGCTGTTGTGCTCTGAGTCACCGTTGTGTTATTGGAGGTCACAAAAACATTCAGTGAAGCTAAGGACAATTAGGTACTCAACAAAGTGGTAAAACCCACTACAACCAGGGTCATTAGTCACAGGGCATTATTTAGAAATTGTTTCAATTTATAATATTTACGAATCGATCTGTAGGAACCCATAAACATTACTCATCAATATAACTAATTGGCTTTATGAGTTTGTTTGCTTGGTTGATATATTCGGGCTGGTATCACCATGGTCTTCAAGAAAAAGGGAACTCTGCATGCTGGGAGCTTTGGCTGAGGTGCTGGCATTCTGCTTATTCCACTGTTTGGGACAAGGAATTCAGAGAGGTCAAGCCGCTTTTACAGACAGTGGAGAAGAGACTGCAGAGAGGTGAGAGGGACAGCAAAGAGAAAAGGCCAGTGGCTACCGCAGAAGTCCACAGAGGCACTGGCTGCTGAACTAGGGTGGGAGCAGTGAGTACAGCGGCTGGTGGCAGGGCTGAGGTCTCCTCTGAAGCTAAAGCAGAAGCAGTTTGCCCATGGTTTGGATTGTGTTGTGAGTCAAGGAGAGAAGCAAAGAATGGGCATGAGCGACCGAGTCAGGAGAGGAACCCTGTGCTAACATGGAGAACACGAGGTGGCTGTGGATTGAGAGCTCTGATTGGACAGGGCCTTCCCTAGTCCTAGAAAACCTGGGTGCAGCTGTCAGCATGCTGCATCACCCATGGAACCTGCCTCAGATCCCGACAACGCAGGGACTGCAAATGCACCTCCTGCAGGGACAGCTGCTGCCCCATGGGCTGTCCTGGTGTGCAGGGTGTGTCTGCAAAGGGCTGGCCCAACAGAGGCAGCTGCCTCCTGGTGTCAGCAGACTCCTGCTACAAAATGCAAGTTAGGCAACATAAACAAGCCTGGGTTTTATTTTCCTTTACAACTCGTTTACTGTGTGTCTTATTCTATGAAATATGTGGCTAACAATAATAATAATAATAACAATAAAAGTTGTCAGCATAAAAAGAAACGAGAATTTGGTTTGGGTCCTGTTATGGGTCCTGACTCCTCCCTCTGAATGGCTGAGATTTTTCCACTGAGAATTCTATGAGTCTCCCCCGGGCCTCCCTGTAATAATTATCACTAACCACCCAGCCAACACTTCCCAGGGGCACCTGCTGTAGAGAGAATCTATAAACACTAAAAATAGTTCCAGGATCAGGGAATGAGACAAACTTTCCCTTTAACTCTTCAAAGGGTTCCAAAAGTTCAGTAATCTATGAATAGAGTTTTTTCTCTCCTTTATCCAAATAAAAGACACTCATTTCAACCAGGAATAAGCAAAAGGGAAAATTAATTAAAGAATATCGTGTTTTGTGGAGTTAAAAAAAATAATTGGATCTTAGTAATCTCCCTCTTCTTCCTCCTCTTTTCTCTGTCCCTTTCTCTGTCTCTCTCTTCTCTCTCTCCCTCTCTCTCCATTTCCCCTCGCTCCTCCTACCCTACTTCCTTATCCCTCTCTCTCCTTCCCTCTTTCTTTCCCTCTTCCCCTCCCTGCCCCCTTTGCCTCTCTTCCATTATCATGGGACAGAAAATACCATCCACCATCTTCCATAGATTATGACTCCAGATACCATAAACTTCATAACTTTCCTTTCTCACTTCTAAGCCCAGATTCTCAAGGAAGGATTCTAGTAGGTCCAGCATGAGTCTTGAGTCTATTTCTGTACCGGTCATCCAAGGCCAAAGGCAGAATCTGAGAAGCAATACTTTTTTTAGTGTCCCTGGAATTAGAGTACTGGAACATGGTGGGTGTTTCACTCAAAGAAAGGAAAGATTTTCCAGAAATAATAAGTATTTGTGATTAATTCCTTCAAATGCTAATAGTTCTGAAATCTGAACTCCAGCTATAGTGTTCATGTTTGAAAATGACTAATATTGTGATTTTTTTTTTTTTTAGTGAGACTTTTTTAGCCAGGGCTAGCACCCCAGCTGCAGACTCCAGGAATGACATTTGGTGTCCAACAGGGCTCAGCGGAGGAGTTGGATTTGGGGATGAGGCAGACCTTTACGCCCTTCACCCCCTCATCTCAAAACTTGGCATCTCAATGTACTGTCAAAGACCCTGGCCCAGTGGGATGCAAACGTAAGCCTACAGCTGACTTCCCATTGCAAGCTCAACTGAAATTCACTTCTCTGCATCACACAGAGATGATCCTGGCTCTCGTCAGCACAGCTCTTGCTTGAGCCACAGATGGCAAATGGAATCTCACCCCCGCCCCTTGCTCCTGAGCCCAGCTGCTTCCACATTCCTTGACAATAATGCTGGTTCAGAAGCTGGCACTTGGAGCCAGTCCTCACTAAGCACAGCAGGGTGGGCAAGGCAGAGAAAAGCTGGCAAGGAGGGAAGCAGGGGCGATTTATTTTATGCTGGTCCCAGCAGCCTGGAAGGTACCATGAAGAGTGGGTAGTGAGACTGCAGCAGATAACAGAGCTTTATCAGGTAAGGGACAGAAGTGGGGGGCACAGGAAAATGACAGCCCCACTTGCCAAATCTCAGAGACACCTGCATCTAATTTAGCACAAGGAAGATTTTATGAAAAAGGGCTGCCACCATCCCCAGATGCAGACTCTCACTCTGTCTCCTAAGCCTCTCTCCAAATTATTCACTTCCCTCCATCCCTACCCCACCAGCTCTAAGTCACCATCATGTCTTGCCTGGAGAGCTACTGCTGCTTCCAAAATGCTCGGTCTGCATTCACTCTTTGGCCACAACTGTTTATTCTCCATTCAGTGACCAAAGTAATCTTTTGTAAGTTGCAGGTCTGATTTTGCCTCACTTTTCTGCTTAAAAGCCACCAATGCCCCCCCCCCCAGATAGAATCCCTAGTCTTTTGTAATAGCTCATAAAGGTCTTCACAAGGTGATTCTAGCCCAGCCCAATCATATCAAACAGGGTTGAAGTATGTGGCAGATGCAGGGGTACCCAGCACGATTGCCTTCCCTTTACCACAATGAACCAAACTCCGAAAGACAGCACATGCTTCCATTTGAAGAGCTGTGGTGGCAACCAGACGTATACCGCAGAATGCAAGTGCCAGAGAATTGATGCTTCCCTAATCCAGCATCACGCCCCCCAAAAAGATGGAGGATAAGTGCACCAGCTCCATCGCTCTTTGGATGGGCAAGTGAGCTGAATGCTCACATTGGCCCCCCAGAGTTCCCTTTTACTGGCCCTGTCCTCTCCCCATCTCACTGCCCTATCCTCTGCTGCTATTAGGGATCATTTCCTGCATAAACCTGTTGCACTTAAACGCAAACCAAAAGGTCTTCTATGGGGAGATTCCAGAAAAAGTCATTATTTTTCATAACTGGATCATTTGGTTCACACCAGTCATGGATGTACCATATTCTCTGCAGCCTCTGGGTCTTTGCACAAATTCTCCCCTCTATTTAGCATGCTCTCCTCCCCCCGCTCACCATCCCTCCCATCTTCTGGATGGAATTTACTCTACTGTCAACTTCACTCTGAGCTTACAGCTACATTCTTGAGTAGAAATTCTCTGATCACACACACATGCACGCACGAGTTTTGTTCCCCTTGGAATTTGTTTCTCTGTTATCTTTCATTATATTTATTCCACCTATAATACTTGTTCCCCCACAGAAATATAAGTCCCTTGAGGACAGCAGTAGTCTCTAGGCTCATTTTTATATTCCAAGTAGAGCACAATATAGATGCTCTATATAAAGTTGAATAGATAGTGCTTAAGTTTTAAAAAGAGAGAAAAGAAAATTAAAGAGGATATAAACTCACCCAGAAATGAAAATGTTCAGCACATGCTAATTGGAAGATCATAGCCACACTACTCAGCTCACCCAGTGGGCCAGGCATCTTGCCAAGAGTTTCTCAAGCGTCACCTCAATTAACCCTCATAGGCTGGTACTGATGTTATCCCTGTTGGACAAATCAGGAAATGCAGTCAAAACAGGAGGCTGAGCTGAGATTTGAACCCTGCAAGTCTGGCACCAACAAACACATACTTAACCTCCAGCCTCTCGGCCTCTTGCCTCGCTGGAGTGATATTCCATCATGGAGTACTTCACTACACCCGGATTCAGAGCTTTTCCTCCTCGCTTAAAGTGAAGGAGGGTTGGGGACATAGCTCAGCAGCACAGTGCCTGCCTGGCAACCATGAGATCTTGAGCCTGATTCCCAGATCAAAAAAATAAAGTGAAGGAAAGTTAAGAGACTTTCTTTGTGCCAGAATCTTGGCAAAGGAATGCCATCAAGTTAGGGAACTAACCGGAAATTTGGTTGGGGAAGGTAAAAAGAGCAGCCTCTAAAGGTCAAGACGGAAAGGAAACACTAGTTTCATGCTTGTTTGTGACTGGCATATATTTCATGTCGTTTTCCTGTGATGTAGATATCCTCAGTGTAAGGCTTATTTGTTATCATCATTTATTGATTAAGCCCAGAGAGGCTAGCTAACTTGCTCAAGGGTCACAAAACTAATAAATGGCAATGAGGGGTTCAAATTCAGGAATCACAGATCAGTAAAGTCATAGCTCACCCCCACCCCTTTCCATCTGGAGAGGTTTGTTCTTGTGGGACCAGCTATTGATCTTTTCTTCTTATTATAGGTTCTTAATATACTGTCAATGGTTTCCTGTGAGACCTGGGAAACTGCCTGACCACATGGCTCTGCCACCATTGCCTACAGTCCTGTGTCCTCACCAAAATCCAGCCAACACTGACTGCAGTGTTTACCTCAGCCCAGACTAAGAAAAACCCTAAACCACGATCAAAAACTCCCAAAGACATAAAAGAAATTCGACTATCACCAGCCTCCACTGAAAGACAAAATGGGAAGGATCCAGACCTAAAGTTCCCACCAATTCCACCTTTGTTATCTCCAAACAGCTCTCCTCCAATCCTCTTTCTTATTCAATTTTTCTTATATATTACCGCAGTCAGTGCTCACAAGCATGCAGCTGGGTGCATATTATCCTACCCATTCCCCTAGAGGAGTAAACTGAAGCTCCAAGCCAGGTTCCAAAGCCAAGGCTTCTTTCAGCAGTGTTTCCAACACTGTTCAATGTCTTACTGTGAAAACTATCTTAAAAGTTTGATTTGGACAGCTCTGTACTGATTTTGTTCTATACACATTTTTACCATCCCAGTATCTGGAGAGGGAGAGATATCAAGAATAAAGGAAAGGAAGCTTGAAAATAGCCAGAGCACACACCTAAAGAAAATGGTGGCTTGAATTAAATAGTATTTGGCTTCTTGTTATCTTTGAAGGAGATCTGATACCCATGTATCTAGACAAATGCTGCCTCTGTGTTTGGATCAAATCTTTCTAGGGAGACACCACTCAAAGCATTCTCTGTAACCACTTAGACTCTAAAAGGCACATACCCTTCAACAAGTTACATAGGACCCTAATTGCATCAAGAAATGCACCACCATATTTACATGAGGATAGACAGAGGGTAGACTCACCAAGGCTTTTGTGGAGCCAAAAGAAAACACACAGGTACTGAGACACCATCAGAGCCTCCCCAACCATCCTCTGACAAAGAGAATCCTCTCCCTCTCACAGTCCCTACCAACCTGCTTGTCTCTAGGCTGCTGCTCAGTCAGTATGCATAAATCCAGCCCTAATGGAGGTTAAAATACTGAAACCCTTCTGTATGTTTTGATAAATTACTTTCCAAAATGACCCAAGAAACTTCATCTAAAACAATAAGGAAATGTATCATCTTTTATGCCAGAAGTCCACAGGTAAGGAAGGAAAGTTTCAAGCCAGGTTGAGTCAGCTGTTCAACAAGCAACATCTTGTTTCCCCCACCACCATCCACAGCCTCTATTCCAACTCTGACTTATTTAAGTCCAAGAGGAGAGAGACAGGTTACTTGGACTAGTTTGGGTGTTGGGACTACACCTGAGCCAATAACAATCACCAAGGAAATGATCCACAGAGACATATAGCATTGTCTGGAGATCTTTTTGTTTATTAAAACTTGCAGTCAGGAGTGGGGATGAAAATGCTATCTAATGAGGTAGAGGTCAGGGATTCTGCTAAATATTCTACAATGCATAGCACAGCCTCCACCACAAAGAACTGTCCTGTCCAAAAAGCCAATAATTCTGAAGATAAGAAATTCTAGGAGGAGGAGCTGGGCGGATCCGGAGTGCCTGCAGAAGCCCCTTCCTTTGTCTGAAGGACTGAATATTTCTGCAAGCAGGGAGGGATCGCAGGTTCCTGAGGCACCTCAGCCTGTGGTGAGTGCCCAGCACAGTCTGCCCAAATCTCAGACTGTTCCGGACGCCCCAGGCTTCTGGGTGCAGTGAAGTGGAGCAGTAGGTTAGAGGCCACTACAGCCGCCTCCCCATCCCTCCCGGCTACACTTGGAAGTCTGCTGAGCTCCTGACGGATGGGCGGGCCTACACTAACCCCGGAGCCCAGCCGCGCCTAGCCATCTGCCTGCAGAGGAGGAGCTGGGCGGATCTGGAGTGCCTGCAGAAGTCCCTTCCTTTGTCTGGAGGACTGTGGATATCTCTGCAAGCAGGGAGGGATCACAGGCTCCTGAGGCACTGCGGCCTGTGGTGAGCACCCTAACCCTGCTGCGATTGAAGAACTGTGGATCTTCCAAGGGGCAGGTGGGCGCACAGTGTCCCTGAGGCCCAGCTTGTCTGGAACTGCGGAGTTCTGAGCAGGCAGAGGAGGGCCACTGGTTCTGTAGGCCCAATGGCTTGGGGTAGCGCGGTGTCAGAGTCTCAGTAGCTCCAAACATAGAAGGGGATTTTCAACAGATCCGGAGGAAGCTTTCAAATAACACTTGAAACACAGAAATATAGAAAATGACAAAACGAAAGACCAAATTACAACCTCAAACCTCCAGTCCATCTCAGGAAACCCTAGGAGCGATGTATATAGAAGAAAATATATCCCATCCACCTCATATATCGGACATAATAGCTACTGAAGTTGACAAGCAACTCCAGGAAGCTTTAAAGAAATTCAAACTCGAAATAATATCCCAGATAAAAGAAGAAATGATAAAAGAAATGAAAGAGATTCTAAATATATCTAAGGAAAACACAGATAAAAAATTGGAGGAACTAAACAAAAAGATAGAATCCCTAGACGAGCAATATAAGAAACAAACAGAATACATAATGCAGATGCACAGAGATATACAGGAAATAAAAAACTCCACTGAAAGTTGTAAAAACCGCCTTAATGAAAGTGAAGATAGAATTTCAGACCTTGAAGACAGGATTGCAGCTAGTGAACAGGAAAGGAAAGATCTTTTGAAAATAACAAGGAATCAGGAAACAACAATTCAACAACTGCAAGACGATGCAAAGAAGAATAACATAAGAATGATAGGGATTAATGAAAGAGAGGGAGACAACATAAAGGATGTCAAGAGGATATTTAGAGAAGTAATAGCTGAAAATTTCCCAAGCATGAGATCAGAAACTGACATCAGGATCAGTGAAGCATATAGAACTCCAAACACTCATAACCAAAATAAAACTACACCCAGACATATAATAATCACCATCCCAGAAATCCAACATAAGAATAGATTATTAAAAGCTGTCAGAGAGAAAAGACAGATCACTTATAAAGGAAAACCTATCAGAATCACAGCAGACTTCTCAGCACAAACGATAAAGTCAAGAAGAGCATGGAGTGAAATATTCCAGATCCTAAAGCAAAATGATTTCCAACCAAGACTGATATATCCTGCAAAACTATCATTCAAAATAGATGGTGCAATATGATACTTCCATGACAAAGAACAGCTGAAGAACTTCATGAACACCAAACCGACCCTGCAAAAAATATTGAAAGACAGTTTAGATACACAAAGGAAAAAACCACTAAGCAAAGCAAATAATTAAACAGAACAGAAAGATAAAGATGCAACAGCAGAGAGATAACATTCCTACAATTAACCAGCATTTAACAGTAATAACCATTAATGTAAATGGTATCAATGCACCAATCAAAAGAAACAGACTAGCAGAATGGATCAAGAAACAAAATCCAACCATATGCTGTTTACAGGAAACCCATCTAACCCAGAAGGATACTCACAGACTGAAAGTCAAAGGATGGAAAACAATTCTTCATGCAGCAGGAATCCAAAGAAAGGCAGGAGTAGCCATTCTGTTTGCAGACAACGTGAACTTTAAACCAACAATGACCATAAAGGACAAAGAAGGTCACTACATACTCGTAAGGGGAAAACTCCAAGAGGAAGAGATAACTATCTTAAATATATATGCACCAAACTCCAGAGCACCCAGTTATATAAAACATTTATTAACATAAATGAAAACTCAAATTATCAGTAACACAATTGTAACAGGAGACCTTAATACGCCACTGACACCAAGGGACAGATCAACCAGACAGAAAATGAGCAAAGAAATAACAGAACTGAATCACACCTGTGAACAAATGGGTTTGATAGACATATACAGAATGTTCCACCTAACAACATCAGAATACACATTCTTCTCAGCAGTACATGGATCATTTTCTAAAATAGACCATATATTAGCTCACAGAACATATTTAAACAAGTGCAAAAGAGCTGAAATCATCCCTTGCATGTTATCGGATCATAGCGCTCTGAAATTAGAAATTAATGATAAAAGATACTGCAAAAATCCCACAAACACATGGAAACTGAATAACACACTCTTGAGTAATCAGTGGGTCACAGAAGAAATTAAAGAAGAAATCAAACAATACCTAAAAGAAAATGAAAATACAGATACAACTTACCGGAACCTGTGGGATGCAATGAAAGCCGTCCTGAGAGGAAAATTTATTGCAATGAGTTCCCACATCAGGAAAACAGAACGAATACAAATAAATAACTTGATGCTACACCTCAAACAGCTAGAAAAAGAAGAGCAAGTCAAGCCCAAAGCCAAAAGAAGAGAGGAAATTATAAAAATCAGAGCAGAAATCAATGCAATAGAGACTAAGAAAACAATCCAAAGAATCAACAAATCAAAGAGTTGGTTCTTTGAAAGAATAAATAAAATCGATAAGCCCCTAGCCAACCTTATTTTAAAAAGGGAAGAAAAAGCTCAAATTCATGCAATAAGAAATGAAAAAGGAGAAATCACTACAGACCCAATAGAAATACAGAAGATCATCAACACCTATTTCGAAAACCTCTACTCTCAAAAGTTTGATAACACAGAAGAAATAGACAGATTCTTAGAAGCATATGAAGTGCCAAAGCTAGATCAAGAGGATATAAAACTGTTGAATAACCCAATCTCTGCTAATGAAATTGAGAATGTAATTGGGTCCTTGCCCACCAAGAAGAGCCCAGGCCCAGATGGATTCACTGCAGAATTCTACAAGAAATACAAAGAAGACCTAATGCCGACACTCCTCAAACTATTCAATGAAATTGAAAGGGAAGCAATCCTTCCTAAGTCATTCCTGGAAGCAAATATTACTCTAGTACCAAAACCTGAGAAAGACCCAACTAAAAAAGAGAACTATAGACCGATCTCCCTAATGAACACAGATGCAAAAATCCTCAATAAAATATTGGCAAATAGGATCCAGCAAATCATCAAGAAGATTATACACCATGACCAAGTGGGATTCATCCCAGGAATGCAAGGATGGTTCAACATACGCAAATCAATAAATGTAATCCACCATATCAATAAAGCCAAAAATAAGAATCACATGATCATTTCTATAGATGCAGAAAAAGCCTTCAATAAGGTCCAACATTTATTCATGATAAAAACTCTACAGAAAATTGGAATAGATGGTCTTTACCTCAATATAATAAAGGCCATTTATGACAAACCAACAGCCAGCATCATACTAAATGGCCAAAAATTGAAAGCCTTTACTTTAAAATCAGGCACAAGACAAGGATGTCCTTTATCACCACTCCTATTTAATATAGTACTGGAAGTACTAGCCAGAGCAATTAGGCAAGAAAGAGAAATAAAAGGGGTAAAGATAGGAAAAGAAGAAGTTAAGTTGTCATTGTTTGCAGACGACATGATACTCTACATAGAAGACCCCCTAAGCTCCATTGAAAGACTCTTAGATACAATAAATAAATTCAGTAATGTGGCTGGATATAAAATCAATACTCAGAAATCAATAGCATTCCTATACTCAAACAACAAAATCACAGAGAGGGAAATAAGAGAAACTGGACTATTCACATTAGCAAGCAAAAAAATGAAATATTTAGGAATTACTCTTACGAAAGAAGTGAAAGACTTATACAGTGAAAACTATAATACACTGAAAAAGGAAATTGAAGATAATCTCAGAAAATGGAAAGACATCCCTTGCTCATGGATAGGAAGAACAAACATTGTGAGGATGGCCATTCTCCCAAAACTCTTATACAGATTCAATGCAATCCCAATAGAAATACCATCAACATACCTTATAGATCTAGAGAAATCACTCCTAAATTTCATCTGGAACCAGAAGAGACCTAGAATCGCAAAGGCAATTCTAAGCAGCAAAGGCAAAGCAGGAGGCATCACAATCCCTGACTTGAAATTATACTACAAAGCAACAGTAGTAAAATCAACATGGTATTGGAATCAAAACAGAGCTGAAGATCAATGGAATAGATTAGAAGATACAACCACAACTACAAACACACTCAACCACCTTATCTTTGATAAAGGAGCCAAGCAGGTTCACTGGAAGAACGACAGTCTCTTTAATAAATGGTGCTGGAAAAACTGGCTCTCCATTTGCCGAAAACTAAAGCTAGACCCATGTCTATCACCATGTACTAAATTAAAATCTAAATGGGTCAAAGATCTGAATATTAAAACAGAAACACTAAATCTATTGGAAGACAAATTGGGTAGAAACCTTGGAGACATAGGAGTAGGTAGAGAATTCATGAACAGGACTCAAACCGCACGGGAAATACTTCCCAGAATCAATAACTGGGACCACTTCTTATTAAAGTTTCTGCATGTCAAAAGAAATCTCCAGCATAGTGAAAAGAAAACACACAAACTGGGAAAAGATTTTAGTGAACTCTCTCTCAGACAAGGGACTCTTGTCTAAAACATATAAAGAATTAAAAAAACTCAGACCTCCAAAATTCAAAGATCCAATCCAAAAATGGGCATCTGAGATGAATACGCAATTCTCAGATGAAGAAATGCAAATGGCAAATAAATACATGAAAAAATGCTCATCATCATTGGTCATTAGAGAAATGCAAATTAAAACCACACTGAGATACCATCTCACTCCTGAAAGAATGGCCAGGATCAAGAAAACCAACAACAACAAATGCTGGAGAGGCTGTGGGGAAAAAGGAACTCTCCTGCACTGTTGGTGGGAGTGTAGACTGGTACAGCCTTTGTGGAGGTCTGTCTGGAGGTTTCTCAAAAAGTTGGGATTGGAAATCCCATTTATTCCAGCTATTCCACACTTCTAGGCATATTCCCAGAAGAACTGAAAGCATCATACCACAATGATTTATGTGCACCTATGTTTATAGCAGCACAATTTGTAATCGCCAGATCTTGGAAACAACCCAAGTGTCCATCAACTGAGGAATGGATAAAAAAGTTGTGGTATTTCTATACAATGGAGTATTATTCAGCTATAAAGAAGGATCACATTGAGATATTTATCAATAAATGGGCACAGCTTGAGACCATACTCATAAGTGAAATAAATCAATCTCGCATGTATGAATACCGAATAGTTTCCCTAATGTAAGTAATGATTCAAATATATGAAAATATGTGGCAATCATGATTCCCCATTATGTGGCCTTGAAGCCTTATAAAATTTTCACTTATTAATTAGAAAGGCTTTATTCTGGGCTTCTTGATATGGAAATATTTGAAGCTATAGTATATGAAGTTTTATCCAAATATTTCAAGGAAAAAGACAGACACTATGGTAACTATTATTCTTTAAAAAAATTATTTAGTTATTTC